TCCGCTGTGTCTTCCTGGGCTTCCCCACCGACGCCCCGCCGTGGCAGCTCTACCACCCTGCCTCGCGTCATGTTCTATCCTCTCAGGACGTCACCTTCGACGAGTCGGTCTGTTACTACCGACTTCACCCACACGCGTCCCACCCGGTCCCCCTCGCGCCTCTCTTCCTGGTACCAGTCCCCCCCCCCGGTACACCCCCTTCCCCCACAGGGTCCTGCTCCCTCAGGTGTGTCTCAGGTAGACCCACCCCCCTTGGATGAGCCAGTGGAGATCTCTTCTGACACCTCTGACCCCGCTGAGGGGGGTGACACAGCCGCCGACGAAACGGCGACCACTCGCCGCACTCCTCGCTTGGAGACCCCCCCGGGGTTCCCGCCTCGGCCGTCTTTGCCACCTCTGTAGTCTGGTGCTGTGGACTCTAGAGCTGAGGCTGCTGGAGCTGGGCCTGGGGGTGGTACGTGTGGGAGTGTCCGCTCTCCTCGTTTGGCTACCCCCCCCGGTTTCCCGCCTCTGCAGCCTTCTGCAGTGGACACTGGAGCTGAGACTGAGGGTGCAAGGACTGAGGGTAATGAGCCTGCGTGTGCTGGGACTGAGGGTACTGAGCCTGCGGGTGCTGGGACTGAGGGTACTGAGCCTGAGGGTACTGAGCCTGAGGGTACTGAGACTTTGCGTGCTGACTCTGGGGGTGCTGAGACTTCGGGTGCTGACTCTGGGGGTGCTGCGAGTCCTTCTGGAGGTCCTGGAGCTAGAGGTGCTGGAGCTGGAGGTACTAGAGTTGCTTCAGGTAGTGGAGGTGCTAGAGCTACCACAACTGGAGGTACTGGAGCCGGACAGCCACCGCAGCCTGCTCTACTTGAGACGCTCTCGCCGCAGGCAATTCGTGTGTGGGTCGTTCGGCAAGGCAGTCCTGGTGGTGGAGGGTACGGTCTTGCTGGTGTTGGAGCTACTAGTCCATGAGGTGCTACTGGTGCTGGAGATGCTGGAGGTACTACTGGAGGTACTAGAGGTGCTGCTGGTGCTGGAGGTACTGGAGCTGCTAGGCCTGGAGTTACTGCTGGAGGTACTAGAGGTGCTACTGGTGCTGGAGGTACTGGAGCTGCTGGTGCTGTAGGTACTACTATTACTGGAGGTGCTGGGGGTGCTGGAGCTGCTGGCGCTGGAGGTGCTGGTGCTACTGGTGCTGGAGCTGCAAGAGCTGCTGACCCTGGAGGTGCTGGTGCTGCTGGTGCTGGAGGCGTTGGAGCTGGAGGTACTGCAGGTGCTGGAGCTACTGGTCTCGGAGGTGCTCGTACTGGAGGTGCTGGAGCTGCCAAAGCAGGTGGTGCTGCTGGTGCTGGAGGTGCTGGAGGTGCTACTGGAACTGCTGGCACGGGAGGTACTGGAGGTAGTACTGGCGCTAGAGCTGGAGCTGGAGGCACTGGATGTGCTAGAGGTACTACGGGTGCTCGAGGTGCTGGCGCTGTCGGAGCTCGTGGTGCTGGAGGTGCTGGTGCTACTGGTGCTGGAGGTGTTGCTGGGGGTACTGGAGGAGCTGCTCGTGCTGGAGGTACGGGAGCTGTTGGTGCTCTTCGCCACCTTCTCAGTCTTCCGCCAGGTGCTACTGACTTCCCAGTGGCAGGTACTACTCCTCCGTTACTGTTTCCACCGGCGGACCAGTCTCAGCCGCCGCTGCTACTGCACTCCCCAGTGCCTGCTCCTGCTCCTTACACTGCGGTGACACAGTCCTTGTCTGAGCGTCGAGAGCCTGAGACTCGTGCTTCCAACCCTGAGCGTCACGAGCCTGAGTCTAGCTTTGACCTTGAGACCGAGCCTAGTGCCGCTGTCCGTACTCGTGTGCGTCGTGTGCGCCGTCCTCGTGCTCCGGCTGTTCTTGCTCGTGCGTCCAGTCCGACTGTTACTCGCTTCCTTGCTACGGTTGTGACAGACCCTACATTCTCGTCTCCTGCTGCGTCTGCCTTAGTCGCTGAGCTCGTTGACTTTGCTGCTGTGTACCGCCTAGACTACCTTGCGAGTCTTGTCTCTGACCCTGTCCATGCCTGTCCTCCGTCCGTCGGGGGTGAGAATGCCCTTGGCTGTACTGCCCTTGGCTGTGACGTTCTTGAGGACAGACAAGAGGAGCTGGAGTGCCTTGCGGCCGCTTCACCCCATCACGCGACCATGCTGCTTGCCACTAAGGGAGACCCGGGTGCACTTGACATCCCCACCCCGCGCTCCTACAGGGAGGCGATTTTGGGTGAGTACTCCTCTCAGTGGCAGACAGCCATGGACGCAGAGATGGCTTCTTGGAAGTCCACAGGCACCTACGTCGATGAGGTTCCCTCACCTGGGGCGAACATTCATCAGTGGCATGTGGATTTTCAGGGTGAAGCGGCCGACGGGTTCTCCGCCTGCCTTCAAGGCACGTTACGTTGCTCGAGGCTTCAGTCAGCGTAAGGGGGTCGACTTCTTTCAGACCTTCTCCCCCACCCCGAAGATGACCACTCTTCGGGTGTTGCTACACGTTGCAGCTCAGCGTGACTACGAGCTGCACTCCCTCGACTTCTTGACGGCTTTTTTGCAGAGTAGCCTTCACGAGGCCATCTGGTTGCGCCGTCCACAGGGTTTCACTGGGTCGTTTCCTGAGGGTACCCAGTGGAGCCTGCGGCGACCAGTGTACGGCCTGCGTCAGGCGCCCCGCGAGTGGCACGACACACTGAGAACGACACTTGCGGCTCTTGGGTTTGCTCCTTCGACTGCTGACCCGTCGGTGTTTCTACGCACTGACACTACTCTGCCGCCGTTCTACATCCTCGTGTACGTCGACGACTTGATTTTTGCTACTGCTGACACTGAGGCACTGGCCCTAGTGAAGGCGGAGCTGCAGGAGAGACACACCTGCACTGACCTGGGTGAGCTGCGGAGCTATCTTGGCTTGCAGATCACCCGGGACAAAGCACGCCGCACCATCACCCTGACTCAGTCACACATGGTGCAGCAGGTCCTTCAGCGCTTCCGCTTCACGTGGTCCTCACCACAGCCCACTCCTCTGTCTACCGGCCACTCGCTCTCAGGTCCACCTTCAGACGAGTCCGTAGAGCCGAGTGGTCCGTACCCAGAGTTTGTGGGTTGCGTACCTGATGACGTGCACACGACCTGACCTCGCGTACCCTCTCAGCCTCCTGGCTTGCTATGTGGCACCCAGTAGACACCGAAAGGTGTCACTTTGATGTTGCGAAGAGGGTACTGCGTTACTTGTGCAGCACATCGGGCATGGGGCTCGTGCTTGGAGGACGGGGTTCGGTGGTCCTCACAGGACACTCTGACGCTTCTTGGGCCGACGACCAGACGACTCGGCGTTCGTCACAGGGTTACACCTTCAATCTTGGCTCTGGTTCTGTCTCGTGGAGGTCCACTCGTTCTTCTTCTGTGCTTGGTTCCAGATGTGAGGCCGAGATCTACGCTGGGGCCATGGCTACACAGGAGCTACGCTGGCTGACCTACCTGCTGACCGACTTGGGGGAGCGGCCTAGTTCTCCTCCAAATCTGTATGTCGACAACAAGGCAATGCTTGCCTTGTGTCGCGAGCAGAGACTAGAGCCGAACGAAGCACATTGCTCTTCGCTACTTCCTTGCACGTGAGCTGCAGTAGCGTGGTCAACTGCGCCTTGCTTTCGTGGCCTTTCGGGGCAACACTGCTGATGTTTTCACCAAGGCCCTTGGGTCTGGTGATCATCACCGTTTCTGCACTGCTCTTGGGCTTGTGCCCACTCTGCCTCACCTGCTGGTTGCTTGACTTGCTCTTGTTGTACACTGATATATATCTTTCTACCTGCTTGTTTACTCTTGCTAGGTTGTGATTAGTGTACTGCCTTACTATTATAACTCTTCATGTGAACTGGCCTTGTAGCTGCTTGCTTGTGCTCAGATTGTGGGCACCCTGAGCTTTGCGTTGCTTTGCTTGTTCTCTTGCTTGACTGGTGTTGTGACCGTCTGTTGTGTTTGCTATCTCCCACTTAGCCTATGGGGGTGTGTCGAACTACATGCTTGTGTTCTCTCTAGGCTATAGTGAGTTAGCCTACAAGGGGTACAACACTTTAGGGTTAGGTACTTGTATTCATGCATGCTACCTAGTCCACCATTCCTACCTGCAGATTCTAACAGAAATATAATTTATTATAATCCCGGGGCAATAAGAAAAGAGCTGATTAAAAACCCTTCATAAAAAAGCCATAATAACTACAGGCCCAAGGCATTATAAGGGGCGGGGTAATTTGGTTTGCATTTGGATATGGCCCTAGGAGATCATTTTGTACAACGAACATTTGTATTGAGAGAGAATTTCCTGACCTGCTGGGAGGACAACCCCCTCAATATATTGTGCCTAATAGCAACGCAAACAGTGCTTTATTGGATACATGTGAGGTTGAATCGCTTGATGCTCATCTTGCCTTGCAGCGCCAGCGCCAACACATCCATCTCCTCCACGTTCCATAGCTCCCTCACCACCGTCTGCATGGCATGGGGTGATAGCAACAGCAAGAGAGGTGTGTAGGAATAGTAGAGGCGATGAGTCAAACGAAGGCTTGCTGTTCCCAGTTCATGTGATGCAGAAGTATGTGGAAAGGTGATGTGCACAAGTGAAAGAGGGGAGTTCTCTTTTTTTTTAAGAGGAAATGATTTGGGCGAAGATTTCATTGACGAGAGGCTGATGAGATGACGAGAGGGGGACAGCGGGGAGAGAAGAGGAAGAACCAACGAAAAAAAAAAAAAGAGGAAGTGGAGGAAGGGAATGAGTGGGATGGGGAGAAACAGATGAATTAAATGACCAGCACCGTATAAGTAGAGAGATGGGAGGGAAGGAGGAAGAGGCAGAGCGCAGGAGGGGAGCAACAGAGAGATGAGGGAAAGAGCAGGGAGAGGGAGGGGGGCGAAGAGAAGGCGTGCCTGTTTGCGGCAGAGCTTCTGGTTGAGCTCGCTGACTATGGAGTGGAAGATGGGCATCGCTGACTCGGTGTTGTGTGCTAGCGTCTGGTGTGCAGGACATGGGTGATGCATCGAGTGAGAAGTGGAGGAATGAGTGCAAGAGACAACAGTGCAAGGCTGGAAGCGCGAGAATGGCAGGTGCGGGAAGGAAAGAATGGAACAGAATGTTGCAGGTGCTGCTTCCCTCTGGTTGTAACAGCGTAGCAGTCCAAGGGGGATACCTTGATAAAGCACACATACCCCGTCCGGCCACAGGGGTGGTGCAGGTGTTGAGACGAATCAAAAGAGGGATACGTTGATGCAGCACACATATATACCCCGTCAGGCCACGTGGGCGGTGCAATGATCCTGGCCAGTGATGTGTGCAGCATGACCTGGTTGTACTGGCGGAGGGGCGAGCAGATGCGCGAAGAACAAAGTGCGTGAAGAACAAGGTGCGTGAATTTTTGAGACGTCTCAAAAAATCACTTTTTTATGCGTGAAGAACAAAGTGCGCGAAGAACAAGGTGCGTGAAGAACAAAATAAACAAGGTTACCAATGATTTATAAAACAGTGAGAGAAGATGGGAAAGAATCAAGATGGCAGGTCACAACAGCAGATGCAGGGGTGCGGAAAAAAAAAAAGTGTATATGTATACATACATATACATAGATATGCAGACAAATAAACATAGACACATACTACCACATAACTATTCATGTTGCACAATGTGATGCGACGCATTGCGGCGTGACAATGTGGAACTGGAATGAGGAAAAGGATGAGCGGGGGAAGGTGAAAACACATGAGGTACGGTAATATTGTTGCAGCGCATGCCTGGCAGAGTCAACTCCCTCAGCGGTCTCAGCTTAGGACACACAAGAGCATGTGAGCAGCAGCAACAGCAGCAGGGCAGCAGGGGCGGCACCCACCAGTTGCTGCTTGGGAGCGCGCGGCAGAGCCTCCTTGAACGCATCCCTCAGCTCTGCTGGATCCGTGCCCTCCACCACCTGGGGCAGGGAGGTGGGATGCGGTGCAGTGCGGTGCAACGGAACAAAAAAAGCATATGTTATGCGAGCATGGTGTAACCAAAGCATCACCCAGTGTCCATTTGCAGCTCCATATGCTTTGTGTATATGGAGCCACACCCCATCCACATGCACACAACAAATGATGTTTCACCTGCCAGCATGCAAGCAGCACACCAGTAGCAGTGAGAATGACCCGGTCCCGTCACCCGGGAGACAAGCAGCAAGCAAGCACAACCGCACACGACTTCGACATGTGCCTTCTTCACATACAGACACACACACGGATGTGCATGCAAGCACCCCAAGCACTCCATGCAATGCAAGCAAATCTGACGACTCACCTGCCCAGACGTGAGCAGCACGCCAGTGGCGGTGAGAATGACTCGATCCAGTGAGACACGCAGCGGGCACAGCCACACGCACTGTCGACACTCACACACACACTCATGAAAATACAGGAATATGAGAGTGGTTCCTCACCTGCCAGCACGCCAGCAGCACGCCAGTGGCAGTGAGAGTGACTCGATCCAGAGAGACTCGCATCGGGCACAGGCGCTTGCTCATGCCCTTCACTGCCCGCACCTCGTCCACTAGCTGGCAGGGTGGGAGGAGGGCAGGATATGTGTGGATGCGTGGGGAGCACAGGGGAGAAGGCGTGGGGTTGACACTTGGAAACGCATACACAGGCGCTTGCTCACGCCCTTCACTGCCCGCACCACACACCTCGTCCACCAGCTCGCAAGAGTGCAGGAAAGGGGGGAAGAGGCGGTAGGGCAGGTGGGGATGCTGAAACTGTAAAAGAATGAGTCATGGGGCAAATGATTCGACTGGCTGACCAGCTGTGCAGCTGTGCGCGAAAGGAATCTGCTGGCTTACCTGTTTCAGCTCAGCACAACAGACAGCATCAGAGTAAACTGTTTGAGCCTGTGTAAGAACCCTACTGTACTGCCATAGATACGGCCGTACCTGTTTGGCGGTGGCAGGTACGGGGGAAAGATGGTGTGAGGCGTGGAAGATGCTCATGTGGTACACGTCAGGGTCCTGCAACCATACGCCTGGTGGGAGGGTGGGACGGGAATGGGGATAGGTGTGGGGACGTGCAGAGGGGTAGGGGAGGCAGTGAAGGGAAAAAGAACCAACTAAGCTGAGTGGTGCAAGTGAGGCGCGGAAGATGCATGTCCGTGTTGAAGGGAGGGATCGGGGTGCTGCAGCCAGACACACGTCTGGTGCGATCGTGGGACGAGGATGGTGATAGGTGGGGATTGGGGGAGCGGCAGGGGAGGCAGTGAAGGGAAAGAAAGAAATCATAAGATGGTGCAAGTGAAGTGTGGTGCAAGTGAAGGGAAATTTCTCATGGGGAGAATGAACCTTTAGAGGTGTGGGTTCGGCAGCCACATGCTTAAAGGGAGGGGTGGGGACGGAGGGAGGGGTGGGGATGAAGGGAGGGGTGGGGACGGAGGGAGGGGTGGGGATGAAGGGAGGGGTGGGGATGGAGGGAGGGGTGGGGATGAAGGGAGGGGTGGGGATGAAGGGAGGGGTGGGGATGTAGGGAGGGGTGGGGATGGAGGGAGGGGTGGAGATGGAGGGAGGGGTGGGGATGGATGGAGGGGTGGGGATGAAGGGAGGGGTGGGGATGAAGGGAGGGGTGGGGATGAAGGGAGGGGTGGGGATGGAGGGTTGTGGCTACCGAACCAGACCTCTAAAGGGGCGGGCGAAGCATCCAGAGAAGGCAAAGTGAGTGAGGCGTGGAAGAAGATAAGCCACACATGCGGTGGAGAGCGGTGCCGTGTTCTTGAGGCGCGTCAAGAGGAGAGAGTGGTGCCATGCAGGCTGCAGCCAGCCACTATTCCATGATTCTTTGCCCCACTAACCCCACTGCTTTCCTCACACCTTCCACTCCCCTCCTTACATCATCGCGCCTCACCCACCTCCTCGGAATCGGTGCAAAATATTGCATTTCACTATTTGCTCACTCCATTCCCCACAGTCCACCCCGCTGCTTTCCTCGCACCTCCCATTCCCCTCCTTACATCATCGCGCCTCACGTTGTCACACCTCACCTCCTCCCATTCCCCACCCTCACATCGCCACGCCTCACCTCCTCGAAAGTGGTGCAAGAAAATTGGTGCAGAATGTTGGCGCAGAAAAGTGGTGCGGAATGTTGTCCTTCACCCTCTCTCTGACTCTCTACCCCACTAGTCCGCACCTCCTCCCATGCCCCCCATCACATCGCCACGCCCCTGCTGCCGTGCTGCTGTGGTTGCAAGCAGCTGCCTCGACTGCTGCTACGCTGCTGCTTCTTCCTACGCTTCTGCGCCTCGTTTTGCTGCTGGGGCTGCTGTTGAGGCTGCTGCTGCGAGTGCTGCTGCCCCTGATCCTTGTTCATTGTATCTGGTCTTGAGGTTCGTCTCGTCATCTAGGTTCATCGTTTCCACAAACGCGCGACCCGACGGGTCGCTAGACGCCAAAAGTACGATGTCGCACGGGACTGTCGTGTCCCTCCGTACATGCACCAGCCTCTCCCACGCGAATGCTCTGCCACGTGGCAGCGCACCACTGGTCCCCGCGGTATACGAAGCACTCGCGCCCGTTCTTCCGCGCGTAGGCACGGTGGCGTCGCCAGTCCTCGAAGGCGTCTTTAATCGGCGTTACCGTCAGCACTGAGAGCAACGGAATGACGGAGATGTAACAGCCGAAGATCGCGAGCTGAGGGATCTGGTTGATTTAGATTAGGACGAGGAAGTAAATGTACGCGACGCGATGAAACTGCTCAAAAAGGTTGCGAGGGAGGAATGTTAGCAGCGTGTATACTCGTCCGGATGCGGTTATTAGCCAATCGGCTCCTATGTATCCTCCACCTCGCTAACAGGCCCTCCCCGCCGTCCATTTCTGCTAGCTCGGCCTCTCGGATCGTACGGTCGGGATCGTCCACGTAAACGATGCGGCCTCTCGTGCGTTGTCGCCTGATCTGGAAGCCTTTCGGGCGACGTGGCGCCTTGTCTGAGGATCGCAAAGCGTCGGGAGCTGCTTCCATTTCTGCTGTGCTGTCGTGTCGACGAAAAGGCCTTGACGGCTGAAACACTCGCATGATTCTGTCCATGCTCTAATGTCTCTGAACGGCGAGCAGGTTTTCCCTGTGTGCAACGTGGCGATGCGGCTGCTCTTAGGTTCCGCTACTTCAACATTTTAATGCCCTCTAACGTTAAAAGCTGCTCAACTATTCGTGCTACTTCTCAAACTAATTGGCTGCAGGAGAGAACCTCTGTAGACTCAAGCTGGGCATACGTTGGCCTGAAGTTCAAAACATAAGCTATGTGATGAGGAACTAGTTTAGGCGGCGGCGACATTCTCAAAGCGAAGCTATCGTGGCGTAGAAGCGGCCAAACTGTGCACCACAGCAAGGCTGCGGCCCTGATCTGTGTCCCTAACTCAGAGTTAGCTAACTCTGAGTTACCGAGCCGTGTAGGCTCGGATGAGTACATTGACAAGGCTCATTGCGCTCGTGTGAATGTTGAGTAAGTAACTCACGTGGGTGATCTGTGGCCCTTCGTAACTCCGAGTTAAGGAAGTTGCGTGGGGGCTCTCGAGAGCTCTATCGTAAATAGTTTCAGGCTGCTCCCTAACAGCCCCGATCGCATTAAACAAAACATTGACGGCAGGATGGCAAAAAAATAAAAATGAGATTGGTGGGAGTTAGTCGGGCGGGGTAAATGTGTCAGAAAGTTTACCAAATTGATGTCATACTAGGTTACCCTGCTCAAATCGCGCTCTGAGTAGTGTATTGAGTTTCACCCCAAAAGCCTAAGTAAGCGAGAGCACTAACTCTGAGTTAGCTTGCCCGTGAAAGAAGGCTCCCCACAAGCTTCCTACGGAGCGTACCCTGATTGTACTTTGCGTAGACGTGGCCCTTATTTGCTAACTCGGAGTTAGCTGGCACGGTGTGATTGTAACGTACACATGTGTGAGGTTTGAGTTGATGAGACCCCCTCGAAACCATTTACCTCTGAGTTAAGGGGCCACAGATCAGGGCCTACGTGTAGGTCCCGTCCCGACCAATGGCATAAGCTTGGAGCATGCCGACATTGAGAGGGGCACCAGACTCTGGGTAGGCTAAAAATCATCCATGCCATCCGTTTGCACATCGAGGCCCATCGGACGGTTTCAATCACCTTCAATGGGTGAATGGTCTGGGACGTTCGTGACGTGACGTCACACTGTCGGACCGCCCTTTCAGGATACTTGGAACCTCCGTCGAAAGAATTGGAACGAGCCAACACGCTTAGCGGAGTCAACATAAAGGTGAACAAAACTAGGTCAAGTCTGGGTGTTATGAGTTGTAAAAGAGAGTGCGCAATTAAACTAATAACGAGACTGTGATTGAACGAACTGAGAATGCAATGAAGGCACACACTAATGTAGGGGTTAGCCTAGCTAGGAGGGAACCTCGGGAGGCGAGGTTGGGTGCAGGTTTGGCGAAGGGAAAAGCCGAAGGCGACGCGAGGAGTCTCGGCAGCGCTGATATCGGCCGAACGTGCAGAGTCCGAAAATCGGGGTTGTACGCGAAGCAGTCAACCCCGATAAGGAATTCGGGAAAATTCCTTACACTAACCCCCCCCCCCCCCCTTAAGAAAGGTGGTCAATGTCCGCAATACGCATGCACGCAAGGTAGTCACCAACAAACGAGGACGCGTCAAGCGAGGCGGATGGCACCCACGTGTCGTCTTCACTGGTTCGATCAGTCCAACTGATTAGGAAATCCACGCGGCGACCAGCTGCGTCAAGTCGAACCCGATGTGCCAGTATCTTTGATGGGTCAAGAGTCGGCTCCTGGGCAGGGCGTGCTATTGGGGCAGCATTTTGTCGCACGATGTATGTCGTAGCTGGCACGAACTTGCGAAGTAAGTTGATGTGGAAGGCGTCATGAATACGCCAGTCGTCGGATAGCAGCAGCTTTGCGGTGACAGGTGTCACCATCTTGATGATTTTGAAAGGCCCACAAAATCGTGGCCGTAATTTCGACGGGCCGGGCAGGTGCAGATTTTTCGTGTCAAGTAGGACTAGTTGCTCAGCTGCCAAGACGAGTTCCCGTCGGAGAAGGTCGGTGTACTTGCGGGGAGTGGTATTGGCCTTGCGAATTGCGTCCGCAGCTTTTTCGCGAACTTCCTGCAGTTCCGTCACAAAAGTTTGTGACTGCGGGACCGGGTTGTCAAGTGTAGTCGTTGTAGGTACCGTCGGATCCATCCAGTAATTCAAGAATAACGGGGAGTGATTAGTCGTACTCGATGGGGCATTGTTGAACGCGTATTCCAGCATGGCGAGTGACTGTTCCTAGCGAGCCGGGTCGGGGCAGTTTGTCCTGATCATCTGCTCCATGGTCTGATTGGTGCGCTCGATCTGGCCATCCGTCGGTAGGTGGTAGGCCGATGAGTGTTGAAGGAAGTTGGCCCCGCCCTCGCATGGGCAAAACTGACTTTGTGGTCGGGTGTGCGGGAGGTGCAGCCGACCTTCTGCAGGTGTACGAGGGTTGCATGTACACGAGGTGTACTAGGGAATCCATGCAAGAGTAATTGAAGCATCCGCGAGTGCAACATATTCTTCCCGTACGCATATACAAGTGGCGCAGCTGGTGCAGAGGTTCGCGGGTGTTCGTCTGCGCAGGGTCGCGTCTGACCCTGCGCAACCTTGAGACTACACAGGCGAATTTTGGCCAAAAATTCGAATGTGCCCTAATTTCGACCAATCAGGGGCTGACATTTTGAAATGTCAACCGAGGTGCTCAAGGAAGGTGCTCGACGAAGATCGTCGAGCAGCGACGACGAAGGTCGTCAACCCGCGACGACGAAGGTCATCAACCGGTGATGACGAAGGTCATCATCCTGCAAAGATGTCAGGGACTTCTCCTGGTTGACCAAGTTACCTGCTCGACGAGGTGCGCGAAGGTGTGCGAACGACGTCGAGGCTGTTGTGGCGAAGTCGACCGACGTGGCAGCACATGGTCGACGTGGCTCATCATGTGCAACCGTCAGCATGTGGCTGACAACCTGCGCAATGTACTTGATAGTGCACGTCGTGCATAACTGTCTACAAGCACCTGCGAAGTAGGTGCCTGCACATGTGCTTACAATCACCTGCGGATGCAATGTTGGCAAGCCGCGCGGATGCTGCGTTGGCAAGCCGTGCGGGTGCAGCGTTGGTAGGCCGCCATCTGCAGCGTTGGCAAGTCGCACTCAAGCTGCGTTGGCGGGCCGCAGACTTGCTACGTTGGCAGGTCGACAACTCTGTCACGCTGGCAGTCGACCTGCCTGAGCACTAGCAAACCTTGCATGTGATGTAGTCAATCTTTGCCATTGCTTGTTCTCATTCTGAACTCTGTATTCTCAACATTTCCTTAGTGAAATTCTTGTTGCTTTGCCCTATGAAAACACAAGTCCTAGAGAACACAGACACAGCTACGATCACTCCTACAACTCGTGCCTACGCTGCGGTCTAGCTCCCACCGTTGTAGAGTTTATCTCCTCATGGTGCGGTGAGCGTGGACGGCCCCGCAAGAATACCTTCAGATAGGAGCCAACTTTTGCACCTACTCAGTCGTTCGTAGACCGGCAGCCTTTTAAGTCACCATGGTCGACCTCGTAGTTGACGCGGGTGTAGCAGATACCTTGGAGACACGACTAGCTAATGCGAGGAGACGCCACGAGGCTGGCGAGTACGGGACGATCCCCTTGGAGATCGTCGAGTTGGGCATCCGGGCGCAGTGGGCGACGGAGCACCCTTCCTGTCCTGCATCTCCTCGACCAGCACGCAACGAAGGTGGCGTCGACGAGGAGGTCGACGGCGGTGTACGAGTCAGTGGCAACGCGCGCACGAGGCACATAGGAGTGCTCAGGTCTGTTGACTGTGGTGTTGGCGGGAGTCACGCATGAGTGCAGCGGTCGATGGCACCTCAACGAAGCAGTGGAAGTCCCTCGTCAACGACGCATGTGACAGCGGGCGGGATCGCGCCGGCGTATGGCTACTTCAAGTTTTCGCCGGACAAGATCACCGTCGCACCTCTGCAAGGTCGACGGGACCTCATCACTTGGAGGGAGTCGATAGAACCACAGCTGGAGGTCGCCGGGCTAAAGGGCTTTCGCCGACGGCACTGTGCCAATTCCGCACGTTGACGATGTCGAGCTGCGTGGGGAGTTTCGTGCTGCTCACTTGCTCACTTTCATGGTCATCTCGAGGTGCTGCTCGCCGGTGGTGCAGCTTGCGCTCAGGAGCTGTCGAGAGCGTCTGGATGCTGGTCACCAAGCATGGCACTTCATCCTGTCGACGTACCTGGCGAAGGACGACCTGTACATCGGATAGCTAGAGGAGAAGATGACACATCTTCGGATGGGTGAGCAGGAGTCGGCGACGGACTACTGCAACCGTGCTCGACGGATACTGGCCGAAATGCGGATGGCGGGCGCCGAATACTCTACGGCGTCCTACATCACCCACGTTGTCAAGGGCCTGCCGCGTAGCTACAACCTCATGAAGAGGATGATGATGGTGCCCGACACGCGGGAGTCACTCGACGAGGACTCAATCACCAGCTACATCCTTCAAGATGAGGCTATGCAAGAGGCAGAGCAGCCCACGGGGCTCCTTCCGCAGGCGAGTTACGCTACACCGACGAAGCAGAATCGTCCGCAGGGGCAGCGAGGAAAGTCTGGGGGAGGTGGTAGCGGAGGTGGGAGGTCGGCGAAGGACGCAGACCAGGCGAAATCAACTCGTGACAGTGGTCGCAACAAGGGTGGTCGGCGGCGTGAGTGCTGGGTCTGCGGAAGCGCTGACCACCTCTCCTATAACTGCCCTGACCGAGAAGACACTGACGACGATGACCACAAGGGAGGCCGTGGAAGGTCGGCCAACGGTCGTCAAAGTCGGGACGAGAAGCCGCGCAAGGAGAAGCAGACGCCAAAGAAGACGTCGTCGACGAAGGAGGTCGACTCCTCCAGCGGCAAGGGGCAAGGTGATGGAAAGGCTTCCTGCTCAATGGTCAGCATGGTGAAGCAGACTGTTTCACTTGCGCCAGAGGCCGGCGAAGACTTCAAAGCGGTCGCAACAGTCGTGCAGGCGAATCCAATGGTGGTTCTGCTCGACAGCGGTTGCTCACACCACCTCATGGGGACGAAGGAGGCCTTCGTCGACATGGGGCCGAGCGGCAATGTGAAGCATGTGCGTGGCTTCAACGGGGCTCTGCAGACCGTTGAGGGCCGAGGCACCGTCGCTCTGCAAGGGGAGGCCGGGAAGCAGGTCCTCATCCCCGACGTGCTCTACGTCCCGGGCGTGCAGGCGAACCTGCTGTCAGCTGGTCAGCTGAAGGAGAATGGTGTGCAGCTGCAGGACGACGGTGACGAGACGATGCTCGTCAACGCGACTGGGGAGGTGCTCGGTCGAGCACGCTATAGCAGCCGCGTCCTCTGCACCAACCTTCAACCCTTCTCGACAAAGCTGTCATCGAAGTCGACTGAGGTGGTGGCTCTGCGAACGATTGCTTCGGCAACGAAGTCGACGCCGCCCAAGTGGCACGCGAGGCTTGCGCACGTTGGTGTTGACATCATGAAGAGCTCGGCGAAGCACAATGTTGCCACTGGCTTGGACATCACGCCTTCCACAGGGACCGATAAGGGAAGAGACTGATTTCAAGCCTCTCAGGGCCTATCCGTGTGATCATGGAACATGCAAGTTTCCATGACATTTCAGGGGGTACTTTGTTTGGTTTGTACTTGCATATGGAGAATCACTTCGTACAACAAATATCTTAGTTAAGAATCCCCTGTGGGAAGGACAACCCAATCCAATTATCATGTTACGCCTAAGAGGAAACAGTCTAATATCATGCCAACCCAGTCTGGTTGGATACACGTGAGGTTGAACCGCTTGACGCTCATCTTACCTTGTAGCGCCAGCGCCAACACATCCATCTCCTCCACGTTCCACAGCTCCCTCACCACCGTCTGGCATGGTATGGATGGGGTGATCGCAACAGCAAGAGAGGCATGTGGGGATATAAGATAGTGTAACATAAATTCTTGTGAGTCCCTTTGCATCTCCTCCACGTTCCACAACTCCCTCACCACTGTCTGGATGCCATGGGGTGACCACAACAGCAAGAGAGCTTTGAAACAATATCAGAGATGATGAGTTGCACAAGGGCTTGTTACTCCCTTCTCTTGTGTGGTGTTGTGGAAGAAAGGATGGCAATGCAGCAGCATGTGGCCAGCTGATGTGCTCGATTGCGAGGGGAACATGAGCATACGAGGACCGGAGAGAATGCTTTGGGTGAAGGCTGGAGTGACAGGATGCCGACGAGATTAAGGGGTTGGGATGGGAGAGGAGAAAGAAGAAACAGTGGGAAAAGGGAGCAGCGAGAAAAAGAAGCACGTAAAAGGAAATGACAGGGCGAGGGATGGGAGGGAATGAGGAAGAGGCAGAGCGCAGGCAGAGTTGAGGGTAGTGGAAAGAGCAGGCGCGGAAGGGATGGAAGCGTGCCTGTTTGCGGCAGAGCTTCTGGTTGAGCTCGCTGACTATGGAGCGGAAGATGGGCATCGCTGACTCGGCATTGTGTTAGCTTCTGGTAGTGAGTGGGAGATGGGAATTCATGAAAAGGGACAATTGAGTAGCGAGAAGTGAGAAGTGAAGAGCAAGAAGTGAGGAGAAGTGAGAGTAATAGTTGTAAGAGCGGTTTGTAGGTACTGTGGATGACAAGACCACGATGATGAAAAGGCATTGCAAGATGGAACGAATTGAACATGGTGCCATCGTTGCTGCTTCCCTCCTGGTGTAACACTGTAACAGTCGAAGCGGGATCCCTTGAGAGGGATACGTTGATCCAGCAAACATACATACCCCGTCAGGCCAAGTAGGCGGTGCAAGGATCCTGGCCAGTGACACGTGCAGCATGACCCGGTTGTACTAGGGGAGGGGCGAGTGGGGAAGGGGGGAGCCGGTGGGAGAAGGGCAAGGTGAACACGGTCAATGAGAAGAGGAGTGATGTGTGCAGCATGACCCGGTTGTACTGGGGGAGGGGGGAACGAGCAGGTGGGTGAGGGCAAGGCGAGCACGGTTGTAAGGGTAGTGAACATGGAAAACAAAATCTGGATGTGAGTGTGCCATGATGTGAAAACGGGAAGATGGAAAAGGGGGGTTGAGATTGCGAGTGACGGATTTGAGGGTTGTGGGCCATGGGGACGGGGGGAAGGAGAAAGGATGTGAGGTAGAATAGTGTTGCCACACAGCAAGCATACACTGAGGCGGCTGCAGCTGGTTTGTCATGAAAAGCAGAGTCCACGCGGTCAGCCCATCCAGCAGCTCGCCTCTGCGTTCTGAGTGGTCTTGAAACACACGCACATAGAGCAGTAGTAGCAGCAGGGCGGCAGCCAGGCACCCACCACCAGATGCTGTTCTGGTTTGGAGCGCGTGGCAGAGGAGAGCCTCTCTCCTTCAGCTCGTCCGTCCCACATGATTGTCTTGTCTGAGAGCAGCAGCCGCAAGGAGAAACCCTATCGAGGATTCACGAGAGCACCCACCAGTCTTCATGCAGGCAGGCACCCACCAGTTGCTGCTTTGGAGGGCCTCCTTGAGATCGGCCCTCGCATATGATTCTGGTGGTAAAAATGGAAACGCTACTCTATTGAGCGTTCATAAGGGCACCCACCAGTCCTTCATCATGCAGGCGGGCACCCACCAGCTGCTGCTTGGGAGCGCGGGGCAGAGCCTCCTTGAGCTCGTCCCTCAGCTCTGCTGGATCCGTGCCCTCCACCACCTGGTGCGGGGAGAGGTGGAATGTTGTCTTGCATCCAAGTGGCTTCTGAATCGACTCAAAAGTCACCTCCGCTGGATCCGTGCCCTCCACCACCTGGTGCGGGGAGAGGTGGAATGTTGTCCTGCATCCAAGTGGCTTCTGAATCGACTCAAAAGTCACCTCCGCTGGATCCGTGCCCTCCACCACCTGGTGCGGGGAGAGGTGGAATGTTGTCCTGCATCCAAGTGGCTTCTGAATCGACTCAAAAGTCACCTCCGCTGGATCCGTGCCCTCCACCACCTGGTGCGGGGAGAGGTGGAATGTTGTCCTGCATCCAAGTGGCTTCTGAATCGACTCAAAAGTCACCTCCGCTGGATCCGTGCCCTCCACCACCTGGTGCGGGGAGAGGTGGAATGTTGTCCTGCATCCAAGTGGCTTCTGAATCGACTCAAAAGTCACCTCCGCTGGATCCGTGCCCTCCACCACCTGGTGCGGGGAGAGGTGGAATGTTGTCCTGCATCCAAGTGGCTTCTGAATCGACTCAAAAGTCACCTCCGCTGGATCCGTGCCCTCCACCACCTGGTGCGGGGAGAGGTGGAATGTTGTCCTGCATCCAAGTGGCTTCTGAATCGACTCAAAAGTCACCTCCGCTGGATCCGTGCCCTCCACCACCTGGTGCGGGGAGAGGTGGAATGTTGTCCTGCATCCAAGTGGCTTCTGAATCGACTCAAAAGTCACCTCCGCTGGATCCGTGCCCTCCACCACCTGGTGCGGGGAGAGGTGGAATGTTGTCCTGCATCCAAGTGGCTTCTGAATCGACTCAAAAGTCACCTCCGCTGGATCCGTGCCCTCCACCACCCGGTGCGGAGAGGTGAACAACAATTGCATGTGCGATGCTATGCGAGCATGGTGCATCATGCATGCCTTGCATCTCCCATGCACCACCCGTGAACCATTCATGCACTGCCCATGCCAGCAGTGGCAGTGCGAATGGAACGTTCCAGTGCCATGGGCACGAGTGCATGCGTGTAGCTGTGAGGGCGACACCATGTGCATGCAAGCACTCCATGCAAACACCACTGATGCTTCAACTGCCAGCAAGCCAGCAGCACGCCAGTGGCGGTGAGAATGACCCGATCCAGAGAGACACGCAGCGGGCACAACCGCTTGCTCACGCCCTTCACTGCCCGCACCTCGTCCACTAGCTGGCAGGGTGGGGGGAAAGGGCACGATGTGTGTGGATGCGTGGGGAGCACAGGGGAGAAGGCGTGGGGTTGACGCTTGGAAAGGCATACACAGGCGCTTGCTCACGCCCTTCACTGCCCGCACCTCGCACCTCGCACCTCGTCCACCAGCTCGCAGGAGTGCAGGAGAGGGGGGGAGGGAAGGAGAGGGGTAGCGCAGGTGGGGATGCTGAAACTGTGAAAGAACGAGTCATGGGGCAAATGAGTGCGCAACTTGATTCGACTGGCTGACCAGCTGTGCGCTGTGTGCGGAAGGAACCAGCTGGCTTACCTGTTCCAGCTCAGCACAACAGACAGCAGAAAAAATTACCTGTTTGAGCCTGCGTAAGAACCCTGTTGCACTGCCATAGGTACGGCCGTACCTGTTTGGCGGTGGCAGGTAGGGGCGAGAGACGTGAGAAGCTAGGAAGATGCTCATGTGGTACACGCCAGGGTCCTGCAACCACACACACGTCAGGGTGGGACAGGTGGGGAGAGGGGCAGGGGAGGCAGTGAAAGGAAAATGAACCATTAGATGGTGCAAGTTGAGTGGTGCAAGTTGAGTGGTGCAAGTTGAGTGGTGCAAGTTGAGTGGTGCAAGTGAGGCGTGGAGATTTCTCATGAGGAAAACGAGCCTTCAGAGGTGTGGGTTTGGCAGCCACATGCGTGAAGGGAGGGGTGGGGATGGCCCGGGAGGGGCGGGCGAGGCATCCAGAGAAGGCAAAGTGAGGGCCCGCCCTTTGAGGGGTGGGGATGGAGAAAGTTGAGAAGCCACACATGTGGTGGAGAGCGGTGCCGTGCTCTTGAGGCGCCTCAAAGGAGAGCGGTGCCGTGCAGCCAGCCACTGCCCCAAGATTCCTTGCCCCACAATTCCCCCCACTCCTTTCCTCATACCTCCCATTCCCCTCCTTACATCATCGCGCCTCACCCACCTCCTCAGAAGTGGTGCAAAACGTTGCCCTTCACTGTCTCCTTGACATCGCCTTGACTCCCCCCACCTCCCACTCCCCACCCTCACATTCACCACACCTCACCTCCTCTCATCTCATTCCCCCCTTCACATCGCCACACCTCACCTCCTCCCATTCCCACCCTCACATCCCCACATCGACACACCTCACCTCCTCCCATTCCCACCCTCACATCCCCACATCGACACACCTCACCTCCTCCCATTCCCACCCTCACATCCCCACATCGACACACCTCACCTCCTCCCATTCCCACCCTCACATCGCTGCGCCTCACCTCCTCGGAAGTGGTGCGGAATGTTATCCTTCACCCTCTCTCTGACTCTCTACCCCACTCATCCGCACCTCCTCCAACCCCCCCATCACATCGCCACGCCCCTGCTGCCGTGCTGCTGCGGTTGCAGAGCTGCCTCGACTGCTGCGCTGCTGCGCTGCTGCTGCTTCTTCCTACGCTTCTGCGCCTAGTTTTGCTGCTGGGGCTGCTGTTCAGGCTGCTGCTGCGAGAGCTGCCGCCCCTGATCGTGGTTCAAGGAGAGAGTGCCATCAGCGCCACCACCGCATGTGCTATCAATGCCCTCTACTACGCCAGCAACCGGCGCGGTGCTATTTTGGGGAGGCAAAAACGCTGTACCCGGTCTTGAGGTTCGTCTCGCTCATCGTTTCCACAAACGCGCGACCCGACGGGTCGCGAGACGCCAAAAGCACGATGTCGCACGGGACTGTCGTGTCCCCCCGAACATGCACCACTTCCCCCACGCGAATGCTCTGCCACGTGGCAGAGCACCACTGGCCCCCGCGGCCATTCTCGCGCGCCCATTCTCCCGCGCGTCGGCGCGGTGGCGTCGCCAGTCCTCGAAGGCGTCTTTAATCGCTGTTACCGTCAGCACGGAGAGCAGCGGAATGACGGAGATGTAACGGCCGAAGATCGCGAGCTGAGGGATCTGGTTGATTAAGATTAGCACGAGGAAGGAAATAGGTTGCGAGGGAGGAAGGTTAGCAGCGTGTATTTACTCGTCCGGATGCGGTTATTAGCCAATCGGCTCCTATGTATCCTCCACCTCGCTAGCAGGCCCTCTCCGCCGTCCGATGCTTCTAGCTCGGCCTCTCGGATCGTACGGTCGGGATCGTCCACGTGAACGATGCGCTGTTGCGGCTTCTCGTGCGACGTCGCCTGATCTGGAAGGGTTGCCGGCGACGTTTCGGTCAAGCGCGACGCGCTCTCTGACGATCGCAGCGCGTCTGGGGCGGCCGATTTCATTTTGGCTGTGCTGTGACGGCGCCTTGAGAGCTGAAATACTCGCCTCGTTCTACCCATGATCAACGGCGCATCTGAACGGACGGTATGGATTTGCCACGTACTCAAGGTGGCGGTGTGGCGTTGCAATGGCCTCCAACGTCACGAGGCGCGCAACATTTCGTGCTACTCTACACGTACGAAGACGGATTGGCCCGAAGGTAAGAACAAGCTTCTTGTGCTTTTCTCTGCAAAAGAAACCGCTCGCCAAGCGCGTGGTGATTAGAAACCAGTTCATGTAAGGACTTTGGCGGCGACATTCCCAAGGTGTCTTCCTGTTACGGGTGCAATGAATCGAGGTAGCGAGAATTGCACTAAGGTGTCAAACGAGTACAAAATGTGAGAGAAGGCATGAGCGAACATTTATACGCGAAACATGCAAAACGGTAACGCGGTGCGTGCGAGCTTGCTAGTGCTACGCTGGAGCGAGGCTCGGGCTAGTCCCGAAGCGTAGGCCGACACGGCCATGCCAGCAGTGCGAGGTTTGGCAAAACAGTGCGCGCGAAGTCGGCGAAGTCCCGTTAGCAGTAACGGGCGAACAATCGGTTGTTACTGTACGCGATGTAGTCGGCTTCGTAAGGAATGCCGAGAAAATTCCTTACACTACCCCCCCCCCTAAGAAGCCCCCTCCGCTACGCGAGTGCGTGGATATCGCGGAATCCCCGGCTCCTCAGGTACACTTGCAGGGCAGGGTGTTTTTCGATGTTGGTCAGGGGCACCCAGTTGTCCTCAGTTGGCGTGCGATCCTTCCAGCGAACGAGGAATTCAATCCTCCTGATTCCCGTGGGGTGGCGGATCCGATGGCTCAGGATTTTTTCGGGCTCGATGATCGGCTCCGATGCAGGGCGAGTCATTGATTGTGGGCGGTGACGCGGCAGTTGACTTGTGGTCGGGACGTATGGGCGAAGCAGGCTGACGTGGAACGAAGGGCTGATGTACCAGTCGGTGGGCAACAGTAGATGTGCAGTGACGGGTGTGATCATGTGACTGATTTGGAATGGTCCACAGTAGCGCGGTCGTAATTTCGGTACGTCGGGCAGTCGCAGATTTTGCGTGTCGAGCAGCACGTAATCTCCAGATTGGTACGTGACAGGACGGCGGTGGCGATCAGCGTTGCGCTTAGCGATGACGTTGGCCTTTTTTATTGCTTCGGCGGCTCTGGTGCGGGCAGCTTGCAGGATTTCGGCGAATTGCTGTGCACGTGGCGTTGGGTTGTCCGGACTCGGCGTCATGGGCACTGTGGGGTTTTGCCCATAGTTCAGGTAGAACGGGGACTGCTGCGTCGTGGCTGATGTGGCGTTGTTGTACGCGAACTCGATCAACGGCAGCTGCTGCTCCCAGGTCGTGGGGTCGTCGCACGTGGCACGAATCAACTGCTCCATCGTCTGATTCGTCCGCTCCGTTTGGCCGTCGGTCTCGGGGTGGTACGACGAACTGAACTGTAGCCGGGTCCCGAACTGCTCCCAGAGGTTTTTCCAGAAGTTGCTGGTAAACTTCGTGTCCCTGTCGCTGATGATTGCTGCTGGTATCCCGTGCAGGCGGACAACGGCTGCGATGAACAGGCGAGCGGTCTCCTCGGCCGAGATCGACTTCTTGCACGCAGCGAAGTGTGCCATCTTCGTCAGCCTATCCACGACGACCATCACCGCGTCGTTACCCCCAGGGTTCGAAGGTAACCCTGTGACGAAGTCCATGGTTACTTGCTGCCAGGCGCGTTCGGGCGGTGGGATCGGCTGCAATTGACCCGCCTTCCGCTTCCTTGAACTCTTCATCACCTGACACGTCGGGCACGAGCCCACGTGCTGCTGTACGTCGGTCAACAGCTCCGGCCAGTAATAATACCGCTGCAGTTGCTGTCGCGTTTTTTCGACCCCGAAATGTCCCGAGGTAATCCCGTCGTGTGCCTCCTGCAGTAGCAGCTCCCTCAGTAGTGAGTACGCAGGTACCCAAATGCGGTTGGTGCCTGTTTTTACGTAATAGACTCCTTTTGCTTCTGCCAGTTGCTGTGAATTTCCGGTCGTGAAAAATGGGTCGGTGCGGTATCCGTGGGTGAATAGGCCAGTTAAAAGCGGGTTGGTCTGGGCGAGTAGGATGGCGTGGAGTTGGGCGGTGGGGCGGGTGAGAGCGTCGGCGATGTTGGATGCTCCTTTTTTGTACGTGACGGTGTAGTGAAAATTGGACTCGAGATAGTCCAACCAGCGAATCTGTCGTGGGTTGAGATTCGGTTGGGCGCGAAGGTACTGTAGCGAGCGGTGGTCTGTCCGTACTGTCACGTCGGCGCCAGTCAGGTAACACCGCCAAACTTTGAACGCATGCACGATCGCTAGCATTTCGCGGTCGTGTATCGGGTAGTTGCGTTCGGGCGGGTGTGGTTTGCGGGACTCGTACGCGATTGGCTGGAGGCCATCCCCGAAGTCCTGCAACAGTACTGCTCCCACAGCGATGTCACTTGCGTCGGTGACGAGCTCGAACGGACGGTGGGGATCTGCAATGTGAAGGACGGGCGGGGAGCACAAAAGTTTTTTGATGGCCGAGAAGGCAGCTTGCTCTTTCTCCCCCCACGTGTACTCAACCCCCTTCCTCAGCAGGTCAGTCAACGGGGCAGTCAGCTTCGCCATGTCGGGGACGAACCGGCGCACGTAGATGACGAACCCCAGGAAACTCTGCAACTCGGTCAAGTTGGTCGGCGCGTGCCAAGCCTGAATCGTCGCAATTTTCTTCGGGTCTATTTCCACTCCCGCAGCTGAAATAACATGTCCCAAAAACTCCAGGCGGTCCTGTAAAAACTCACACTTAGATGCTTTGGTCAGTAGGCGGTTCTCACTCAGGATTTAAAAAACTGCTTCGATGTCCTGTAAGTGCTGTGCTCTGTCAGGGCTGTAAATCAGTATGTCGTCCAGATAAACGATGACGCACTTATCTAAAAGCGGGCGGAATGCTTCGTTCATGGTCATTTGGAAGGTGGCGGGGGCGTTGGTCAGTCCGAATGGCATGACAGTGTATTCGAAGGATCCGTAGCGTGTTCGGAATGCGGTTTTAGGGCAGTCGGGTGGGTTGACGCGGATTTGGTGGTAGCCTCCTCGGAGGTCAATCTTCGAGAAAACCCGGGCTGTGCGCAGTTGGTCGATCAGTTCATCGGCTCGTGGGATGGGGTAACGGGATTTGATGGTAACCCTGTTCAGTGCCCTGTAGTCGATACACATGCGAAACCCCCCGTCTTTTTTCGGTGTGAACAGTATGGGTGCGGCGAAGGGCGACGAACTGGGGCGAATGAATTCCTTTTCGAGCAGGTAATCGAGCTGCTTCCTCAGTTCGTCTAGTTCGGGTTGGGTCAGACGGAACTGTCGCTGTACTGTCGGCTGTGCCCCCGGTTCCAGTTCTATCCTGTGATCGTGCGGTCGCTGAGGTGGCAGTCCCGTTGGCAGGTCATCCGGGAAAATGTCACTGTACTGTTTTAACAGTGCTGCCAGATCACTCGGTACGCCGGTCAGCAGTTTCTGTAAATCGCCTCCCTTGTCTGCTGCCTCGGCTTCCCGAATGTCAACCGCGTACACGTCAGCTCCGGCCGCTACAGCGCGTTTCATCGTGATCACATTGACACGCACCGACGAAGACTCAGGCGAGCCCCAGCGAGGTAAGGCGATGCTGTTACCGTTCACTCGCACAGTGCAGTCCCCCGTCGTCCAGTCAATTCGCGGGTTGTGTCGTCGCAGCCAATCACGCCCGAGTAAAATGTCGGTTCCGTCGAGGGTCGTTGCGAGCATTTCCTGGCTAAACGTGAAGTTACCCCCGCATCGAATCCGAACTCGGTCTACGCGTTCCCGTATTGCCAGCGGCGTGCCGTCTACCAGTCGTGCGTCGATCTCAGGTAAGCATCGGTCCAGTGGCAGTCGCAGTTTTCGTGCTGTAGCAGTGTTAATGAGGCTGTGGCTGGCTCCCCCGTCTACGAAGATTTTAACTAAGTCCGTCCCAATTTTCCCACTGAGCAGTATAGGGCTGTCTACCGTGGTACCCTCCTTATTCGGCCGGGTGTGGTCGATTGCGTGAACCGGCACAATCACTCGGTGAGGGTCGGTTGGGTCGGGCGAGCGGCGTGACCTGTCAGTAGAGGGCCCGTCTGCTACTGACTTCCAGCGTTTCCCTGCTGCTTGGTCTGTGTCTGCTGCTCAGCTTCCCCCTTTCCCTTAGCGTTTTCCGGGCATTCGCTCTTGCGATGTCCCGGCCGATTGCACGCAAAGCAGCGCCCTTTGAACGGTGCGGCAGCGGCATTTGCGGCGACGGCGCGTATCGTGGCGCTCTCGTTCGTCCCACGAGGCCGATGTCCCCAATTGTTGTTTCCGTAGGACCCCGGTCTCGGTCGGCGAAAGAAGTCGAGCTTCTCCGCCATAGCGAGAATTTCCTGAAATTCGGTGACGCCGCGAAGCTGGATTTCCTGAGCGATGTCCTGCTTCAGGCCGCCGATGTAGCGGTCGATGCGTTCGCTCTCATGCATGTAGCCCACCTGCTCGCATAGCGCCAGAAATCCGCTCGTGTAATCCTGGACGGAACCGAGTTGGCGCCAAGTGCGAAACTTCTGTCGCGCCGAGATCGAAGCCGCAATTGGCTCAAATCGAGCGCGCAGACCTGCGCACCACGCGTCCCACGTGCGATACTGGGGCACCTCCACGAAATACGACGGCGCCCAGGGTCCGGTTTGTCCTTCCCGTGTCGGTAGTGTCGCGTAGTCGGTCGGCTTCGTGACGATGACGCGCCACCAATCCATGGCGGGTCCTCGCAGCAACGACACGGCGTATCGAATCTTCGCCGAGTCCTCCGAGACGTAGTTGGCGTCGAAGAAAACATTCATTGTGAACAACCACGCCTGAACGGTAGGACCACCCCGTTGACTCGGGTCAAAGCATGGCGGGCGCTGCGGCTTCAGCGGCATCGGTGACGGCAGTCCCGAATCGTGGGTTGGTGCCGAAATCGTGACGCGAGGTTGACTTGGGGCCGCATGCGTCGCTCTGGGGTGTGTCGTGCCGTGGTCGTCGTCTCCGTCGGGGCGGACGACGCCATCACTGGCCGCGCTCGCGGGTTGCCCCACACTCCCGTGTTGTGATGTTGAGGGTGCGGGTTGAATCGGAGTGCCAGGTGCTTGAGATTGTGCTCTCATGAGGTCATTTTGCAGTGATGAGCGTTCTGCCGTTAATGCCGCGATTTCCTCGGAGCTTTCGTGCAGTTGTCGCAGCAGCTCGTTCAAACGCTCCTGCGTGAGAGTGGTGACGTCGATATTTTCGGCCATGCCGAAGGGCGTCGGCTCGTCTTAGTCTAGGCGCAGTCGTGGCTGCACGCGTTTACGAGAGAACGCGAGGACAGCGGCTCCTAGTGGCTAAGGTGCGTAAGTCCCTTCGAGTGAAAAATCAAAAGTTGATTTCCTGGTGTGCGGAGATGCGCGGTCCGAAAGAAAGGGGCTCTGATACCAAGTGTTACGGGTGCAATGAATCGAGGTAGCGAGAATTGCACTAAGGTGTCAAACGAGTACAAAATGTGAGCGAAGGCATGAGCGAACATTTATACGCGAAACATGCAAAACGGTAACGCGGTGCGTGCGAGCTTGCTAGTGCTACGCTGGAGCGAGGCTCGGGCTAGTCCCGAAGCGTAGGCCGACACGGCCATGCCAGCAGTGCGAGGTTTGGCAAAACAGTGCGCGCGAAGTCGGCGAAGTCCCGTTAGCAGTAACGGGCGAACAATCGGTTGTTACTGTACGCGATGTAGTCGGCTTCGTAAGGAATGCCGAGAAAATTCCTTACACTTCCATACGAGTGGAGAACCGTGCTTCTGTATGAAGGCTACGCTGCAGGTTCATTATTTGCGGTGGAGAAACGTTCTGTGCTTTTAGAGCGGTTTGTTGGATCCACCGCTTTAAACCGTGACCCACCAGTCTGAACCGTGATTCATGGGCTTTGTGGGACATGCCCTCAGCGCCACAGTACAGTAGCATAGTATGCCAGAAATGAGAGGGGCACCCAGCCAGACCCTGAGCAGGCCAAAATGTATCGGTGCCATCCATTTGCACATCGACGGTTCCGGTGGCTCTCCATGGGTGAATGGGCTGGGAAGTTCGTGACGTGACGTCACCAAACTGAAGGGGAAAAATGGGTGCGGTGCGGTCTGTAACACCCATTTTTTCCCGCGCGCCAGTTCCTCAAATACTACCGTTGATCCGAGATTTGAGATACAATTGATGCCCAGCCAGTGCACGCGGATTTGCCTTGCACCGGATGGAAACGCTGCGCCCGAGGTTGTTTCCCCAGCCTGTTGCTCCCACGTTATAAGCGCGTCGGGTGGTTATCAACCAATAGTAACGAACAGACCGAGGTCAAGCAGAAGAGACTGAAGTCAAATAAGGTAACAGATCTTGTTTATTAGCACCTGCGAATCCTTTTTAGCTAGCTGCGAATTGACGAAGCTTAAACGAAATAATCGTTACGGCTTATACGCCCCCTTCACAAGGCAACCGGGAGGGGCTCAAACAGGCATCAATTGTACCGTAGACGCAGAGAGTTCATTGCGAGGTGTTGGATTGGATCCAGCCAGCCTATGTCACAGCGACTCTCTCACAGAGCAGCGACTTTCATCCATCCGAACTCCTCACACCTGAAGCTTAGGATGTTCTGCTGCTGAACCCTAGACTCTCGCCGCGACGTTTTTAGTCTTCGACCGCTTACATTAGTCCCATTTTATCAACTAGTCGGAATGGCTGCTGCATCACCGATCGGGCAGCTGTCAGACGATCTTCTCTCCGTTATCCTCCATTTCGTTGGTCCATCCGACGGCCAGTTACAGCACGCGCTTGTGTGCAAGAAATGGCATCGCATCGCCCGTAGCGTGCACGAGCACATCCATCTTCGCAAAGAGCGTCACGTAAGTCCTCGCGAGCTGCTCGCTCACCTCTCGTCATTCCCAGGGCTACGAAAGCTCGTCCTCGCCAACGGCAGCATCACGTCCGTCCCTGACTCCCTCCTTTCGGGGATTGCCGACACGTGTCCAGATCTGACGGGCCTCCATGTCGATAAAATGGATCGACGCTACAGACGCGGGGGGTTCACAGAGAACGGGCTTTCGTATTTCTTTGAGAAATGCACACGGCTGGAGGGACTTCGTCTTGATTGTCAGTCGAATCTGACCGCCATTCCCTCTTCCATCGGCGGCCTTGCGTCACTCAAGAGCCTGCACATCACTGACAGGAGGAGAATCGCTCTCCTTCCAGAAGCTTTCACCTCGTTACAGGCTCTCACGCATCTCGTGATTGAAATGCACGGCCTGGATGAACTGCCGCAGGACTTCGGCAATCTGAGGCTGCTCAAATCGCTCAATCTGATCGGCTGCCAGTGTCTCGTTTCCATTCCCGATTCTTTGGGGCAGCTTACCAACCTGACGCAACTTTCCATCAGTGACTCCACAAGGCTTCAGCTGCCCGAGTCCATCTCCAACCTTACATTGCTGCTGACAGTTGAAATTTCCAACTGCCAAGACCTTTTACCGCTGCCTGAGAGGTTCGGGAATCTGCCAGCGCTTGAAACCCTACGTCTGGAAAATGTGTGGGGGATCTCAAATCTGCCCGCGAGTCTCGGGCAGCTGGCTTCTCTAACGGACCTTATCCTCGACCGCCTAGCACTCCACCATCTGCCTGACGGCGTCGCTCTCCTCCCACGCCTACGCACGCTCAAGCTAGACGTTGGCATGGCCGTACAGCTGCATCCCTCCGTATACCTTGCCACCACACTCAAAGAGCTCACAATCACAAAGTCTGAAACTTTACATTCTCTGCCCGAAGAATTCGGGCAGCTTACTGCCCTCGAGGCCCTGCGCCTATTTGAGCTTTCGCGGCTCAGCAGCCTGCCCGCGTCGCTTGGCAACCTGACAAGCCTCAAGGAGCTGAAAATATCCTTCTGCAGGCTACTGACAGAGCTTCCAGACTCGTTGACTCTGCTTTCTTCCCTTGAGCTGCTGGAAATCAGTTGCTGCCGCTACCTGACAGTGCTACCACAGGGCATGGGGGATGGTCTGTGTAGCCTGCGCAGACTGATTCTGCTCGAACCCAGGGCTCTCACCCACCTCCCTCCATCCTTCTCCAGCCTCTCCTCCCTCGAAACCCTACAAATCTGTGGTGCACCCAGCTTACGAGGCGCGCTACCAAGCGAGTTCTCCCACATGACAAGCCTCAAGGACCTCTCTCTCTCCTCCCTGCCACACCTGCCCGCCCTGCCCGCCTCCCTCCCTGCCATCACCTGCACTCTCACCAGCCTCGTGGTCATCAATTGCACGCGAATCGAGGCGCTGCCAGAGGATATCGGATGGCTGGGATCGCTTGAATCACTCCATCTCAGCGAACTGCCCAATCTGAAGTCGCTCCCTAAGTCACTGTTTCAGCTGCAGCGGTTGAAGTCTCTAACATTGTTTGGCTGCAGCGCGTTGGAGTCGCTGTTTGAGGATGAGGACACGGGAAATGCACTCACGGGAGCTGCACACACGGGGGATGCACACACGGGGGATGCACACACGGAGGATGCACACACGGAGTATGCACGCATGGAGGATGCACACACGGAGGATGCACACACGGAGGATGCACACATGGAGGATGCACACACGGAGGATGCACACACGGGAGCTGCCGGGCATGACCTTGCGGGGAGAATCACTCTCCTCGAGGTACCCGGTCACACGGGTAGCAGCAGTGCTGCTGGCAGCTGTGAGGGATCCGAGGAGGGTGACACGGGTGTGTGGCTTCCATCCCTCGAGGTCCTTCGGCTTGTGAATCTTCCCCTGCAGCAGCTCGGTCCATCCCTGGGCTCCTTTTCATCGCTAACCAGGCTGGAAATCAGCGGTTTGCATCGGCTTCGCTCGCTCCCAGAGTCCATCTCTCGCCTCTCTCGCTTGCAGTCACTCACGATCAGTTCTGCCGACAGCCTGCTTGCCCTGCCAGAGACAATAGGGAAACTCTCAGCACTCACATCCCTCTACCTTACCGATGCCATGAGCTTGACTGCTCTGCCCGAGTCATTCGGGCAGCTGAAGAAGCTTCAGTCTTTTTCTATTGACAGCAGCCCGGGCTTAACCAGGCTTCCCGAGTCCTTCCCTGATCTCTGCAGACTGGAGTCGTGTTATTTGTGCGAGGTCGGAATCTCGTGCCTTCCAGATGATTTCTGGAAGCTCTCTGCTTTGAAAGAAATCTCTCTGGTGTCTCTGCCCAAATTCCACAGCCTGGCCGAAAGTTTTTCGCAACTGCCTGGACTGGAGGACTTGGCCCTGCGTGAGTGCAAGCGGCTGGCTTTGTTACCCGCGGGCCTGCAGCAGATGGGGAGGCTGCAGACATGCGTTGTCAGTAGATGCCCGCTGCTGTCAAGACAGAGGGTGGTGATCCATGGTACATCGAACCTGGACGAGGGAGAGCGTGCAGTGGGTGGCTCGGAGGACGAAGATGAAGGGGAAGTTTGGATGGGGGAGGATTAGGGGAGAGTGAATGGAGGAAGGAAAAGGGGTGAATGGGAGGATGGAGAGGAGAGCGAAGGGGATGGGAGTGAAGGAGAGGGGAGTGAAGGGGAGGGGAGTGAATGAAAGGGGAGTGAAGGGTAGGGGAGTGAAGGGTAGGGGAGTGAAGGGTAGGGGAGTGAAGGGTAGGAGAGTGAACGGTAAGGGAGTGAAGTGTAGGGGAGTGTGGAATGGTGAAGGCCGTGGAATGAGATGTAGATGTGGAGGACGAGGAAGGCTAAGGTTGCACTGCTGTCATGCTAAGGTTGCACTGCTGTCATGCTAAGGTTCCACTGCGGTCATGCTAAGGTTGCACTGCTGTCATGCTAAGGCTGCACTGCTGTCATGCTAAGGTTGCACTGCTGTCATGCTAAGGTTGCACTGCTGTCATGCTAAGGTTGCACTGCTATCATGCTAAGGTTGCACTGCTGTCATGCTAAGGTTGCATTGCTGTCATGCTAAGGTTGCACTGCTGTCATGCTAAGATTTCACTGCTGTCATGCTAAGGTTGCACTGCTGTCATGCTAAGGTTGCACTGCTGTCATGCTAAGGTTGCACTGCTGTCATGCTAAGGTTGCACTGCTGTCATGCTTAGGTTGCACTGCTGTCATGCTAAGGTTGCACTGCTGTCATGCTAAGGTTTCACTGCTGCCTGCCTAGGTCTCTTCACAGCTCTACCTTCCCCCCAATCTCCTCCTCCTCACTGTCTTCCGCTCTACCCTCTCCTGCAACGACATGTCAGCAGCCAACTTCGCTGACTTCGTTACCAACGCACCAGGTGGTGCTGAGCTGGCATTTCTTGATGCCACGCTGTCAGGCGCCCTTGATGAGCTGGCATCCGACCGGGGCTTCAGAGCAAAACCCTGGCAGGCAGGTTCTGTAAGATCTTCACGGACAGCCGTTCAAAAGAATTCCGCTGCTGGGGCTTTGCAAGCTAAATGTGCCTTTAAAGGGGGCAAGCCAGAGGGTGGAGACGGTACAGCGAACCTGGACGAGGGAGAGCGTGCAGTGGGTGGCTCGGAGGAGGAAGATGAATGGGAAGTGCGGATGGGGGAGGAGGATGAAGGGAGCGAAGGGGAGGAATGAGAGGGGGGCGATGGTGAGGGGGTCATGAAGGGGAAGTGGGAGAGGAATGAAGGCAATGGGAGTGAGGGGTAGGGAGTGGGGAAATGGGGGGAGGAGGTGGAGTGAGATGGAGACGAGGAGGACGAAGAAGGTAAGGATGGGGGAGGTGAGAGGGGGATGGGGAGGATATAGAATCGAAGGATTTGGAGAATAGATAGGAAGTAAGCGAGGTGGCTATCTTTTAGTGTCATTACAACCATGTGACTAATGAAATGGCGCTGCTGCTCTGTTGGTGGAGCACACCCTGCATTTAAGTTTTAGATCATGGTTAGTTTGGGTTGAAAATACTACCTAAAACATGTATTTTGTTTCATGTGAAGAAATTAGAGCTTTGGTCAAGTTCGGAAAATCAACTACCGTACTTCAATTAGTCATGAAGGGCAAGTTGTCCCTATCACAGTAACTTGTATAGATGGGTATCTTGCTTGCTGCTTGCCGCTCCATGGCATCTTCTACATGCCTGAAAATACTTTCATCGTGGCAGCAACCCTACATACAGACACCGCTGCGCAGCCTCCCAAGCAGTCACACACTGCTGCGCCCACCACTGCACCTCACGCACAGTCACACTGCTGCGCCCACCGCTGCACCCCCGCATACACTCACACACCGCTGCGCATCCTCCCGAGAACATCAGCATGCAGGGGGCTCTCAGGCGCACACCTCTCAGGCACACACCTCTCAGGCACACACCTCTCAGGCGCACACCTCTCAGGCGCACACCTCTCAGGCGCACACCTCTCAGGCGCACACCTCTCAGGCGCACACCTCTCAGGCGCACACCTCTCAGGCGCACACCTCTCAGGCGCACACCTCTCAGGCGCACACCTCTCAGGCGCACACCTCTCAGGCGCACACCTCTCAGGCGCACACCTCTCAGGCGCACACCTCTCAGGCGCACACCTCTCTGGCGCACACCTCTCAGGCGCACACCTCTCAGGCGCACACCTCTCAGGCACACACCTATCAAGCACACACCTATCAGGCACACACCTATCAGGCACACACCTATCAGGCACACACCTATCAGGCACACACCTATCAGGCACACACCTATCAGGCACACACCTATCAGGCACACACCTATCAGGCACACACCTATCAGGCACACACCTATCAGGCACACACCTATCAGGCACACACCTATCAGGCACACACCTATCAGGCAGAAAGACAGCAGTGGGATGCAGCGAGTACAAGGCAGCCGAGGGGGAGAAGCCTGACTGGGAGAGAGCACGTCTCCCAAAGACACCTCACTACCACACTCTACCGTATTATTGTACACTGTCACACCCTCAACCTACGCACACACCGCTGCGCAGCCTCCCAAGCGCATCAGCATGCAGGGGGCTCTCAGGCGCACACTGGTCAGATAGGAAGGCAACGGTTGGGTGGAGAGAGTACAAGGCAGCCGAGGCAGAGAAGCCAGACTGGAAGGCCACGTCTCAATGTCACCTCGCTCCTCCTCTTACTACTACTGCTGCTGCTGCTGCTGGCCCTGCTGTATTCATCACAGCACCAGAAACAGTCGGACCACCGCACTGTCACCTCGCTACACCCCTGCACACACTCACACACCGCTGCGCAGCCTCCCAAGAGTATCAGCATGCAGGGGGGTCTCGGGCGAGCACCTGTCAGGCAGGAAGGCAGCGGTGGGGTGGAGCGAGTAGAAGGTAGCCGAGGCAGAGAAGCCAGACTTTGAGAGCACGTGGACGTTGCACCCCGCCAGCACCAGCCAGTCCGCCACTATGTCCAGGAATGCCTCCCTGCTGCCTGCCTCGCCATCTCCTGCTGATGATGTGACTGCTGCCCCTGCTGCTGCTGCCCCTGCTGCTGTTGCTCCTGCTGCTGCTCCTGCTGTTGCTGCTCCTGCTGCTGCTGCTCCTGATGCTGCTACCCCTGCTCCTGCTCCTCCTGCTGCTCCTGTTGCTGTTCCTGCTCCTGCTCTTGCTCTTGCTCCTTCTGCTGCTCCTCCTGCTGCTCCTGCTCCTGATACTCCTGCTGCTCCTCCTGCTGCTCCTCCTGCTTCTCCTGCTCCTGATCCTGCTCCTGCTCCTGCTCCTGATCCTGCTCCTGCTCCTGATCCTGCTCCTGCTCCTGCTCCTGCTCCTGCTCCTGCTCCTGCTCCTGCTCCTGCTCCTGCTCCTGCTCCTGCAACTGCTCCTGCTCCTGTTGCTGCTGCTGCTGCTACTGCTACTGTTGCCACTGTTGTTGCTGCTGCCACTGTTGTGTCATTTTCAGTGAGCTTCCTTCCAGCTGTCACTGATGCACTCCCTACTGAGTGCCTGTTTCCAATCAACGGATCAGATTTTTCCCCGCGGTTGCTGTGTGGGGGCGACGCATGGACGGATTCAAGCGGCGAGCCTGGAGGCAACTCTTCGAGCTTCCTGACTGTAACAGTATCGAGTTGGCTTGTATGAAGGAGGTTGGAGTGCCGCGGTATGATGCTGGATGTTACCACCTGGAAGGGAGAAAAAGAGAGAGGGAGAGAGTACCGCTCGAAGAGGAGGAGGAGAGGAGGGGGGAAGGAGTGGAAGGGGAAGGCAAATGCTTGTTGCAAGCCAAAACACTTGAATGATTGCAGAGGCATAAGAAGAGTGGGGGTGGAGTGGAGTAGCTGGCAGCTGAATACAGGGGATTCATATACGAGAGGCTGACAGTAAGTTACCCACCTTGTAAGGGTATTTCCCCTTGAGCGCCAGTTTAAGCCGGGCGGAGTTGGTGACGAGCAGCCATCGCACGGAGAGGGACGGCGGCAGCCAGAAGCGCTCCACTGCCTATCGGGTGGGACGGGCGTGACAGGCGTGACGGGCGTGACGGGTGGGACGGGTGGAATGGTGGGATGGTGAGAGAGGGAGGGATGGGGAGAGAGGAGGGATGGTGGGAGAGGGGGGGATGGGGCGTGAGGGAGGTAGAGGGAGAGATGGGGTGGAATGGAGGAATGCGCGGAGCTATTGAGGCGACCTAAAATTAGTCCCACAGTCATTGCGTGGAGAGGGACGGCGGCAACCACAAGCAAAGCACTGCCTGACGGGCCTGCTGAGGAGCACGGGTGCAGGAAGCACGGGTGCAGGGAGAAAGGGTGCAGGGAGAAAGGGTGCAGGGAGAAAGGGTGCAGGGAGAAAGGGTGCAGGGAGAAAGGGTGCAGGGAGAAAGGTTGCAGGGAGAAAGGGACATAGATGAGGGGTGACGGACACGAGTGCTGATGGGACGTCAGCAAGCTTGGTGAAAAGAAAAGACAATGCTTGTGCTCCCTCCTCTCTATTCCCCTCATCCGTTTACCAACCCCCCCCCCCCCCCCCCCCCCCCTCCCTCCTCATTCCCTTGCGCCCCCTGACCTCCTCCGCACTCTCCTTGCCCCCTCGCGTACCTCACCGCACCTCAGCACACACCAACCACTTCCGCACGGCTTTCATCCATGCTGCCTCCTCCTTTGCGCCTATTGCCACATTCGCTAGAGTCACATTCGCTGTAGTCACGTTCACCATAGGCACATCTCCTGTTGCCACCTCCGCAAATGTCGCCCCTGCTGTGTCGCCGCCCTCCCTTTGTGTCTTCTGCGCAGCCCGCTCCTGCCATGCCACGTCAGCATCTGGAACCCGGATGTGCAATCCGACGGTCACCAGAGGTCCGGCATCCGAACCTGGTGCCAAGCCTGCCACCAGCTGCTGCTGCATCGCCTGCACTCGTGCCCATACCTCCGGGTTTGGTCTGGAATGCAACAGGCGGACTTGATTAAATAAAGGAGGCTGAAAAGTGGTTCGGGCTGAATGCTGAGGCAGAAAGAAAGAAGCAAACTGGAACAGCAACCGAATGTGACACCTCAGCAGCACTCCAGCTAATGCCACCTCACCACTGCATTATCCTCTCCCCCATTTGTCTCACCACTTGTATCACAAAAGGAATGGAGAAGAAAAAAAAAAAATCCAAACTTGAATGCATGCATGTGGTAAGCGCAAGCCCATCGACAAAACACTCGCCGTTGCTTACTTGAACAGGAACCTTAGAATGCAGCCGAATGCATAGGGTAACCGCAAGCCCATGTTGTGTAACCGCCTCACCCTGCCAGCCCTCCATGGCCCTGCCAGCATCCTCGTCAGCATGCCCCGATTCCACCTCACCCGCACATTCACTGCGTTCCGAGACAAGCCGCCCGCCTTGCCACCCTTCATGCCACCCCCTTTGCCGTCCAGAAAGAACCAATCCGGGTTCACGTTCCGATTTAGCAGATCCAGCAGTAGCACCTCCCCCGGTTGAACCTCCCCCTGCCACTCCTCCCAGTGCTTCTTGTCCGATAGCTTATCGCGAGGGATGGCGCGGGCGGGGGAGAGGGGGACATCAGGGGAGAGGGTCCAATCCACGAGGGCGGGTTGGAAGGCCCACGGCAGGCACGCGTGGCGGATAAGGAAGGCCCGACCGTCCAATAGCGCGACGGCGAATGACGTGGCGAGGCCCACGAGTGAGTCACCGAGGCCCCCGCATTGGTCGAGCCAATCGTAGGTGAGGAAACGGAGGGGAGGGGGGCCGGTGGGGGACGTAGAGGAGGAGTTGGTGGAGGGTAGTGGGGCTGACAGCGGTGCTGCTGCTGCTGGTGCTGGTGTATCTTCTCTTCCTCCTGCTTCTCCTGCTTCTCCTGTCACTCCTGCATCTGCACCGTCAGCAGTGTGTGAAGCGGCGGTGCTGGCGGCATATTGAGCAACGCTGGCAGCGCGGATGCGGGAGTGAAGAGCGGCGTAATCGGAGTGCCAGGAGCCGCAGAGGTGCGCGGGGAAGGAGGGGTCCAGCAGGGGGAGCAGCGCGGTGGGGGGGATGGACGCCGCGCACTGCAGGCGGTAGAGGGGGGAGGAGAGGGAGAAGAAAGGGGAGAGGAGGGGGAGACGAAGGATTGTAAGGGGGAGAGTGAGGAGATAAGGAAAGGCGCCGCAGAGGTGCGCGGGAAGGCGGGGTCCAGCAAGGGGAGCAGCGCCGTTGGCGGGATAGGCGCGGCGCACTGCAGGCGGTTGGGGGAAGAGGAGGGGAGAGAAGAAAAGGGAGGGAGGAGGGGTCGGAGAGAAAGGAATGTATATGGCGGAAGTGAGCGCACGGGACTGAGCGCACTCGTTCGTGAGCACCTGGTAATTCATCCTCATCAGCATCAGCATCAGCATCATCATCAGCATCATCATCAGCATCATCATCAGCATCAGCGTCAGCATCAGCGTCAGCATCAGCATCAGCGTCAGCATCAGCGTCAGCGTCAGCATCAGCATCAGCGTCAGCATCAGCATCAGCATCAGCGTCAGCATCAGCATCAGCATCAGCGTCAGCATGACGACGCCAAGGAGCAATTGCCACCGTGAATCGCGACGCGGATGTCGCCACGTGGCAGCGCCTAAACCTGCTGGAGGTTAAAGAGCAGCACAGAAAGACACTCTTCCTCGCGGCTTTTGAGAGGACACTTTTGAGGCGCCTCAAGAGAGGGCACTCTCAAGACTCGCGAGCAGCACACAGAGGCACTCGTTCACGGCACCTGCGGGTTCATCCCCATCAGCAGCAGCATCGCGACGCCGAGGAGCCATCGCCTCCGTGATTGTCGCCGCGAATGCCGCCAGGCTCCGCACCGCACTCGCAGCAGTAGCCGCATCGCATTCCGACGAATCGCAGGCGCGTTTTGGACTGAGTCGAGTGACGCTACACTGGGAGAGTTCAACGTTTGGATTGCTTACTCTGCCTGCTCGAAAGAGCGGCTGGATTGGACTGCTTGCCAGACAACGATCGAGAAAACATGGATTGTCTGAAACAATTGATCGGAAGACGAACGATTAGAGACTGACTGAAGGTAGGTTCGAAAGCATAGAAGGTAGCAGCGAATGAAATGCGGGAGTGGAGTGGATTGGAAAGACGAAGGTGCGTGAAATGCGGGGAGTCGAGTGGATGAGAGATGGTGCTTGGGAGTTTGTACCCCCTGTTGAGAAATCCGGGACACGTTTTCTCAGGTACAAGGCGAACAGTATATTTGTTTTTTGTTAGATGCTGATTAATGCACAACTTCACCGTGCCACGTGCCTCGCTGCATTTACACGGTCATTCGGCCACGTGACAGCAGGTGGCATCTGCGTCAATCCATCGCATGCGTAGCATCTGTTGACGTGGTAAACCTCAGCAGTGTGACACCATCGCATTTCCTCCCTCCAACTAGCACATTCAAATTCCAGCTCCCCTCCAGCAGAACCGAAATTCGGTGGTTATCAAACTCGTATTTAGAACCAGAAAGAGTGTGGAGGTCCGAGCGTTTGTGTTCAACCAGACCAGAAGCACAGCTGGTCTCTGTAGTTTCTCGGCCTTCGCGAATCGGCTTCATAGCAGCCCTTCTTGCTTCTCTCTTCTCGTTGACAGTTTTTTTTTGGCTACAGACGGTCGCATTTACCACCATAGCCCAGTAGCTCTCCAAGAGACTCACGAATGTATGCGCACTCAGCTTGTAACGAGCACTTCCTTTCAGTTCCTTGGACTGACTCCCCCAACGCAAATAATCTCTTCCCATAGGCTCCCTCTCGCTCGCGACCGCTTCATTCGTCACCAACTCTTCACCCTTGGATCGGACGGCACCAGGAATTGCTTGCTAGGGTCGGGCGTTCCGACCAGCTCGAGCCGCCAGGAATTATTTTCGCTATTGTCACACTCCGGCACCATGGCGAGTCTGCTCGAGCGGACGGAGATCGGCGCGCTTGTATCGGAGAAGAGGGAGATTATATCGGTGCCTGACAGCGCCACCGTGCTGGACGCTCTCGAGGTAACGAGGACATGCCGCGGTGGATTGCAACGGACGTGCTTATATGGAAGGGATTGTATGCATTTAATAGTTCATGCTACACTCACCGGTGTTCCCTCTTGCTTACCCCTCCCCCGCGTCCCTCCCCCCTGCATGTCTTTTCCTTGCACCACTCTCCCCGTCCCTATCACCGTTTCCTCCGCCCGCCCATCTCCCCATGCCTCTCTTCCCTCCCCCCCTTCCCCTTCCGCTTTCTCCCTCTCTCCTCTTTCTCCCTCTCTCCTCTTTCTCCCTCTCTCCTCTTTCTCCCTCTCTCCTCTTTCTCCCTCTCTCCTCTTTCTCCCTCTCTCCTCTTTCTCCCTCTCTCCTCTTTCTCCCTCTCTCCTCTTTCTCCCTCTCTCCTCTTTCTCCCTCTCTCCTCTTTCTCCCACCTCTTTCCGCTTTCTCCCTCTCTCCTCTTTCTCCCACCTCTTTCCGCTTTCTCCCTCTCTCCTCTTTCTCCCACCTCTTTCCGCTTTCTCCCTCTCTCCTCTTTCTCCCACCTCTTTCCGCTTTCTCCCTCTCTCCTCTTTCTCCCACCTCTTTCCGCTTTCCACCTCTCTCCTCTTTCTCCCACCTCTTTCCGCTTTCCACCTCTCTCCTCTCCCACCCCCAGCTGATGAACGCGAACGGCATAGTGGCGCTGCCAGTGGCGGCACCGCCGGGGAAGTGGCTGGGGGCGGGCGGGGCGAACATCGTGGACGGGGATAAGCAGTACATTGTGAGCTTATGACGAGTCGCTGTGAGCTGGTACCGCCGTGAGCTGGTAACAACAAATTATGACGATTTACATATAGGGTCTATTGTTGTAGCAGTGTGAGCTGCTAACGGTGTGAGCTGTTAGCAACTTATAATGAGTCACAGTGTTTGTTGTATATTGTTGTAACGATGTGAGTTGAGAGCATTGTGAGCTGGTAAGAGCAGCTTGTAACACATCCTTTGTACAGTTTCTAGTGCGCAGCAGTTGTGACCCGGTAGAATCTGGCAAAATGTACACAGTAACAGGACTGTTGTAACCACTGATGTATTCTGTTGGGTGTACGGGTGAGCTGTGCTACAGTGCTTTCCTTTCTTCCCCCCGTTCCGCCCGCTGTGATGGCACGGCAGATCAGCAATGCGTAGCGAGGGGACGAGAGAGAGAAACATTGTCCTCTTTAATGCCCTCCTCGCTGCCTCCCTCCTCGCTGCCTCCCTCCTCGCTGCCTCCCTCCTCGCTGCCTCCCTCTTCGCTGCCTCCCTCCTCGCTGCCTCCCTCCTCGCTGCCTCCCTCCTCCCCTTCCCTGTCACTCCTCCCCTCCCTACCAACTCGCGTCCCCTCCTTCAACTTTCCATCAAGGCGTGGTGAGCATGGCGGGCGTGGCAATGCACGTGGTGAGGGAGGGCGATACATACTCCCTCTCTCGCCTCCCTTTCTCCCCCTCCTTCCGTCCCCCGCACCTACCTCCCCTCGCTCCTCGTTTTCTTCTTCCTTTCGTCTCCTCTTCCCCTGCTATTTCACCCCATCAGGGGTGAGCACGGCGGACCTGGCAATGCATTTAGTCACACAAGGCGATGCATGCTCCCTCTCTCTCCTCTTCCTCACTTCTCACTCTTTCTTCCTCCACCCTCTCCTTCCTCGCCCCACCCCACCAGGGAGTGGTGAGCATGGCGGACGTGGCAATGCATGTGGTGAGGGAGGCAGCGAGGCCAGCAGCGCTCAAGGCGGGGGTGGTGAGCCTCATCGGCAACTCGCCTGAGGGGCTCTCGCTCTGGGTCGCCTCCACCTCCACGCCGTGAGTTGCGAGTTGTGTGTTGCAAGTCTCATCCCTCCACCTTGCTGCCTCTCGTTTCCCCTCATTCGCTCACCCTCATCGGCATCTCGCCTGAGAGTTACCCGCTCTGGGACGCACTCCAGCTTCGCCGCGTGACTTGAGAGTTGCAACTCTCACAGCTGCGCCTTGTTGGCCCTCGCAGTTTGCCACTAGGGAGATAATATCTGTGATGATGAACCCGAGAGTGCAGGCTTAGGATGCTAACAAAAGCCCTCCCTTTCCATTTCTCCCTTCGGCACCCTCACCTCCCCACCTACCTCTTCCCTTCTTCCCTTGTCAGCTTAGTGGACGCCATGGAGCCGCTAAGCAAGGGCATTCACCGGCTGCTCGTGCGCTGCCCCATCGCCCCCCCTGCTGCCCCATCTCCTGCCTATGCTGCTCCGACTGCCATGACCTTTGGCCACGCCACCCCTGAGGCACCTGAGACTCAGGGATCGCCAGCAGCAGAAGGTGGAGCAGAAGCAGCAGACGCAACAGGAGGAGAAGCAGCGGCGGCAGAAGGAGAAGCAGGAACAACAGAGGAAGCATCAGATGCGGCTAGGCCGGCCACAGGAGCAGAATCAGAAGCAGCAGCACCACCCCTGGCTCTCAAGCACTCCTACCACTTTGTCTCCCAGACTGACGTGGCAGCCTTCCTGCTGCTCCACGTGGACGCGCTGGGTGACGTGGCACAGCGCACTGTGGAGCAGCTAGGCCTCGCGGACCCGCTCTTCCCGCCCCTCGCTATAGTGTCGGGCATTACAGTCACTGCCGCGCTCAGGCTCATGCAGCGCGCTGGTGGCGTGAGAGCGGTGGCTGTGGTGGCGGGGAGTGCGGAGGAGGAGGAGCGGATGGAGGAGGGCGAGGGGTCTGGTGCTGCATCTGCTGCTGGTGCTGACGTGGCAGGAGGAAGGGGAGGAGGAGGGGGTGGGGCAGGGAGGGGGAGGGAGCGGGGAGAAGCAGGGTGGGTGAGGGGTGGCCGGCTGCTGGGGACTCTGTCAGTGTCGGATCTAAGAGGCATGGACGCGGAGACTTTAGCTCAGCTCACATCCATGAAGGTGAGGGCTGATCCAACCTCCTGTGTGCAGAGCAGGTGTGTGTATGAGGGGGGTGGGGAGCAATTGCTGGGGACTCTGTCAGTGTTGGATCTGAGAGGCATGGATGCAGAGAATCTAGCTCAGCTTACTTCCATGAAGGTGAGGGTTGCTTCACGCACGTGCACTGCTGACACATGAATGCTTGAATGCCATGCATGTAGGCATACCTCACATCACACCACCTGTTGAGGCGCCTCAGAAGATGAGCATGTGCTACGAACCTGCGCGTCTGACACATGTGTGCTTGAATGCTTCAATGACGTGCGTGTATCCCCGCTCCCTGATACAGGTGCGGGACTTCCTCGCTCACATGGCGTCGCTCTCCCCCGAGGGTCGGCGCCCGTCCATCACGTGCCGCATGGCGGCGCCCCTGGCGGAGGTCATGGCTCTCGCAGCCACCAACCGCGTGCACCGCGTGTGGGTCACGGGGGAGGACGACGAGCTGCTGGGGGTGGTGTCACTCACTGACGTTATCTCGGCTTGCAGACGGGCAGGTGGACACTGGTAGGGCGGGGCCATTAGTGAGTGGTTGGAGGAGAGGGCATGAGTGGTGGTGATGGTGCTGGCAGTGACTAACCGCATGCACCTCATATGGGTCATCAACGAGTTGTTGGGAGTGAGACTCCCTCACACTTTACGGTACCATCACTGCTTGCAGACGGGCGGGTGGAGTGGTAGATCGGCCCGAAGGAGGGTGGAGGGACTAGGAGGGTTCCAATCCAAGTCGTTCATTTGCTGCCAGTGTACCAGTACTGGATGCAGAGATGTCTGCATAGCATGGGTAGAGCACAGCTTTTTCAAACTGTATGTGCTTCGCTTGTTTACTTGATGTCGACATGAAGCACAGTCTACGGTAACTTAAGGACTTCAGTATCTTCAAACACTGTTGGGGAAAAGTCGATGATGATAAAAAGACAGAAGGCATCAACAGGCAACACTAGAGTTGTGATGTACCTACTACCTACAACAGAATGACCAACCAACTGCAAGGCCGTGTGGGATACTATGTACGGTACCAGCAGAGACTTGATGACACCCTTTCACCGTTGAAATGCCAGTCTTGATCAAACAGGAACCCGAAGTTCTTTTACCATAATGCTTTCACAAGAGATGATGCCACCATGCACTCGAGCCATCGCACATGTCATGTCTCGAAGTGCGCCTTGACGGTTATCCATCTCAGCGCAGATAGCAGCAACAGCATGAGCAGCAGCAGATGTGGTAGGTCATCCGGTCCCAACGCTGTGAGTGCTGTGATGTGAGTGCTGCAGAGCAGATGATAAATGTTGTGACGTGCTCAAAGCTGCAGCATGCGCATCCCTTGCTGGGAACAGGGAGCTATAGTACGATTGCAGGAAGGGAAAGGGAGTCAGTAGCACTATTGGCAGCAGGATGAGTTCCACCCGCAACAGTAGCACGAGTTGCAGCAGCAGCACGAGATGCAGAGGCAGCACGAGTTGCAGCGGCAGCACGATTTGAACGGGCAGCAGTAGCACGAGCAGCAGCAACCATTGTAGCACGGGTGACATGGGCAGCAGTAGCACTAGGTTCAGCAGCAACAGCAGCACGCGTCGGAGCAGCAACAGTAGCACGAGCTGCGCAGGAAGCAGGAGCGCGAGCAGAACTTGCAGCAGCAGCAGTACGATTTGCACGGGCAGCAGTAGCACAAGCAGCAGCAACAGAAGTACCACGGCTTGCAGCAGCAGCAGTAGCACGTGTTGTAACTGCAGGAGCGGCACGAGTTGCAGTACCAGCAGCAGCAGCAGCACGAGTTGCACGAGCAGCAGCAGCAGCAGCAGGAGGAGGAGCACGAGTTGCACCCGCAGCAATAGCACGAGTTGCACGAGGCCCAGTAGCAGCAGCAGTATACCGAGTTGCACCGGCACGAGCAACACAGGTGGCAGCAGCAGCAGCAGCAGCAGTAGTAGGTGCAGCAAGAGGAGCAGGAGCAGCAGCAGCAGCAGGAGCAGGAGGAGCAGAAACAAGAACAGCACCAGGAGCAGCAAGAGGAGCGACACTTTCTGCAGCTGGGGGTCCATCCATGAGTGGTCTGTCCTGACGGTTCTGGCTCCAGATATAGGATTCAAAAGGGATGATGCAGTACAGAGGCGGACATCAGAAGGAAAAGTAGAAAGCACACCCCCAGAACAACTAGCAGTAAAAGTGCTCAATATACAGCATCATGGTGTTCATACAGCAACAGGGTGATACCATTGCAGAAGAGTACAACATTAAGAATGAGTGTTGATTCTAAATTGCAACATCATACTTGGCTCCCACAGAGCATATCAACTCCACATAAATGGCAGACAACACATAACAATGAGCAACACGTCACAACAAACCATGCAGGCAGCCAAGGAGTGTAAGGGATCACCTCAAAGACGATCCACAACAATGGATCTGACCATGCTGAGGGGAGCATTTGCATGACTCACCAGCTCTTGTTGATGATTCTGTCCCACCTCCAACCACACCTCAGTATCTGACTCATCCGAACCGATATCATCAATAGGTAATGGGCTGGTGCCAACTCTCCTCTTTATTCCGTGAATGTGGCCCTATAAGGGCAAGTATAGCAACGAGGAAACAATGTTATTGCAATGAGGCAAAACGAATCAAGAATCCACAGAGTAGAAAATGAATGGTCAAGCAAGTATTTGAGTATGTGCGTGCATGTGTGTGTGTGAGCGCGCGCGTGTGTGTGCGTGCGTGTGCGTGTGTGTGTGCGTGAATGTGTGTGTGTTTGTGTGTGTCTGTGTGTGTGCGTGCCTGTGTGTGCATGTGTGCTTGCGTGCACGTGAGTGTGTATGTCTGTGTGTGAGAGAGATAGAACAGGGAAGGGGAAAAGAGGAGAAAGGAGGGGGAAAGAGGATTGCAGTTGTCTGCACCTTGGTGCAGTAGTACTCAACAAACGCAGGAAGCCTGAAAGCAGTCCTGATGTCATGATTCAGATACAAGATCGACCTTAAATGCGAGTAGTCATCTCGACAGATTTTGACAACCTGCCCAAAAAAAGAAATTCAGTGAGATTCGCTTCGCTGAAAAGGAGAACGGACGGTCATAACAGGTGATTTAGTGAAAGCACCCCTCGCTAATCACAGCTGATAGAAAGTTGGATTTGATGCTAAGGAAGCTTTGTTTAAACTCACTTGAGATTCGCAAAACGGACAAACTTCGCCTTGTATGAAGCAGTTGGCAGAAAAAGTAAAGATCCTGTTAGGAAGTCTAGTAAGAAAAGCCGAACGTATTACTGGTGGTGGGACATAAAATTGGTAGTATTCATATCAGATCCAGGATATAGAGGGTGCTGCCATGCACGGGCTCCTATCCACTCTAGGGCTCGAATCTGCATCTTGATCCAAACACCAAAAGCTCCCTCGAGACACCATCACGTCGTTGAAGGCGATAACGGGAGTAAATAGAGCTTACCCTGAGCTTTGGAGATCAAACGAAAAACCTTTCAAGATGCTGACCCACACATCATTGCACACTCCCTCGGTTTTCCGCCGCATGCAAGTATATGAAAACGCAATGAGGGAACCATTGGTCTGGGTTAGCTTCAAGGCAGGAGAGTGCAGGTGGGGTCCACCAAAAGCGTGTCCTTCCGCATCAGGAACGGCTTGCCAATCAGAAACAAAAATGTCGTCACAGCCGTTGGCGTCGTCCCTCCATTGTCTAGATTCCCTCCCTCGCAACGCGGCACGCCGTACCCCGGGGCACCAATTCAACCACTTTCCAAACGCCTTAATGTCGTCGTTTTCCATATCGTTCACCATTCGCTGAAAACTCTCAAGATCGGACGAGTCAGCTGTACCCTCGATATCGACTCTTCTAGCCAGCTGGTCACAGCAGTGCCAATACCACAGCTGCTCGTCCGCCATACGTCTGAACTTGTTTGAGAGACTTGCGAGTCGAGCAATGAGTGGTCCCGTCGGTTGAGCACGATCGAGAATGATGTAAACGAGTTCAGCGGGAAGAAGTTCCATGGTGCTCGAATGTATCTAACAAACAGGTTCTGGGCCAAGGGGGAACGAAAGGCTGCTGAAGATGAACGGAAAAGGCTAAGGCTAAAGTGGAGGAGAGTGTCCTGCTGCCAAAGATGAGAGCAGTCGAGGGAACCTGTGCCTGACAGGGAATTCTACAGGGCATTGTCCCCATCGCTCCGGGAGGTACCGTAGCTCCGACAATACCTAGGTGGTGGTCGTCTAGAAGTGCGAACAGGATGGCGTTTCCTTGGACCATTGAAACCATCGATGTGCGAGCTGTGACCTCGATGTTCTACTCAGGAAAAGCTAATATCGATGCTGGAGCCAAGGAGAGCAACCGTATCTCGATATTTGAATCAGCTACTGTACATCAGTTCCTGACATGCTTCGCGAAGTCCAGCAGGAAAACCGTGTCTTGGATTGTGCAGTTAAGTGTGTGAGCTTGGGAACACCTCTCGCAGTATTGGCGAAGGCAGCCCCTTGCTGGGAACTCGAGGCACGAGAGTTTGAGCGAAATGGTTGGCGAAAAACATGACGAACAGGTGTTACGTGGGGATTTCGGTTTTGGTCTGAAAGTAACTCGTTATACACGTAGTCATTGTTCTTACAGTTCCATTTGCTAAAAGATAGGGGGATCACCATGGTATAATCCCACATTGTATGTCTTGGGTGAGGCTTGAAGCCCAGTCCCTTCTCGGCGTTCGCGAGTCCGCTTCTTAGGAGGTGTCCAGCTCGTTGATTTACTGTTCGTAACCTTTCAGTTACCACAATTTGCGTTGTAACACTGAGTTTTACAAAAATGCCAGACACGATCAGCTCCCGTTCACGATACGGCACACCCCCTGCACGTACCTCGATTCGTGTGACGTACTTTACAGGAATCAGCGTGCGCATCGAACAATGGTACAGAACCGCGTCCTGCCCACTACAGTGAGTGCCCATCGTGTCGCGCGCTTGATTTCGCATGCGCCGCCTGACACTCGCCAAAACATATAGTGGAAGTGTTGGCCTGGCGAGAATTCTAACGCTTTGGTTGACGAGGGAACTGGTTACCCTGGTTGCCACACGGCCCCTGCACTGTTGAAGTCAGTGTGGGGGGATGGTGTCCGCGCGCCAGAATGACAGAAAGGGTGGACTCCAGCAAGGCGGTTCGTTTATAGGTACAGTGTTCTGTTTTGAACCCCCGATCGTGAGGAGGTACTAGATTTCCCAAAATGAACGAGCTGGACACGCCCTTAGCAGACAGGCCTTCGCTTCTCTCTTCACATTCGCATGTTTTTTTCTGGTTCTAAACGTTCGCCGCATCTCACTACCGCAATAACCCGATAACGCCTGAAGTCAAGCGTATGCGTGCGCGCTTCCTTTCACAGTCCGCTGAATTCCCCAAGCGTGTGATTTCTCCTTTCATAGGCCCCCTCTCGCTCGTTACCGTTTTATTCGCCGCTTCGTTCATCACCATCGCTTTGTCGATAGTTCTGACGACACCTGGAGTGGCTTAAAAGCATTAAACGTTTCGGTCAGTTCGAATCGCCAGGATGCCTTTTCCTTATTGTCACACTCCGGTGCCATGGCGAGTCTGCTCGAGCGAACGGAAATCGGCGCGCATGTATCGAAAAAGGGCAATTCACCGCCTGTCGTGCGCTGCCCCATTGCCAACGCTGCTACCCCCTCGCCCTCCGCTGCTGCTCCTACTGCCATGACCTTCGGCCACACCACCCCTGAGGCACCAGAGACAGAGGAAACACCTGCAGAAGGAGCAGCAGCAGCGGCAGGAGGAGAAGCAGGAACAGCCGCAGCGGCGGCAGGAGGAGAAGCAGGAACAGCCGCAGCGGCGGCAGTAGGAGAAGCAGGAACAGCCGCAGCGGTGGCAGGAGGAGAAGCAGGAACGGTGGCAGGAGGAGAAGCAGGAACAGCCGCAGCGGCGGCAGGAGGAGAAGCAGGAACAGCCGCAGCGGTGGCAGGAGGAGAAGCAGGAACAGCCGCAGCGGCGGCAGGAGGAGAAGGAGGAACAGCCGAGCAGCAGATGCTGCTAGGCCGGCAACAGGAGCAGAATCTGAAGCATCAGCCAATTCGCAGCTCTCAAGCACTCGTACCACTTCGTCTGTCAGACTGACTCCTTCATCCAAACGCGCCTGCCCCATCCATCAGGGCGTGGTGAGCATGTTGGACGTGGCGATGCATGTGGTGGGGGAGGGCGATGCATGTCCCACTCATTCCTTTAACGCACCTTCCGTGAGCCTCATCGGCAACTCGCCCGAGGGGCTCTCGCTCTGGGTCGCCTCCACCTCCACGCCGTGAGTTGCTAGCTTTGAGTTCTGGGTTCGGGTTTTGCGTTTGGTATTAATGCAAAAGCCAAACAGAGAGCCAGCTGAGCAGTCATCTTGGCCGCCTCCACCTCCACCCAGTGGGTGTTGGTTGGGCCATGTCTCGCCGAGGAGGCTACTGCCCTGACCCATGTCTCGCCAAGGAGGCTACTGCCCTGACCCATGTCTCGCCGAGGAGGCTACTGCCCTGACCCATGTCTCGCCCCAGCACCAACCCGTGAGTACACACCAAGGATCTATGCTGCCGCTCCCCTGTTCATCAATATGCCAGAGCACTCAACAAACTTTGCACCAGCTGTTTACCCTAACCCATCCTCTCGCACTCCTCTTCCGTGTCCCTGTCTCCTCCCCCTCTCTCTCGAGCGGTCCTTGTATTATATCCAAACAGTACAGCAATGCAGGTAGGTAAATGGCAAGCATACCAACATCAAACATTAAAACGACTAACCTACTAACCTTCCCTCTCTGACCTCGCTCCTCTAGGGGATCTCCAGGGCTGGCTCCAGGATGCTAAGGCAGTCCCCAAGTAACATGCCTTTGCCAGGGACCCCCACAGGTGGGTTTTCCCCCTCTCCCTCTCTATCCCTCTCGCCTCCATCCCGCTCTTGACTAAACCCCACTGCTCATTCCCCCTCCCCTCCCCTTTTCCCCCCCAGTTTAGTGAATGCCATGGAGCCGCTATGCAAGGGCATTCACCGCCTGCTCGTGCGCTGCCCCATCGCCCCCGCTGATACCACCCCCCCACACGTGCCCTCCTCTGCCGCTCCTCCCACTGCCATGACCCTCGGCCACACCACGCCTGAGGCACCGGCAGAAGGAGCCGCAGAAAAAGCAGAAGCAACAGCAGGAGCAGCATCAGGAGAAGCAGGAACAACAGCGGAAGCAGCAGATGCTGCTAGGCCGGCAACAGGAGCAGAATCAGAAGCATCAACCCTTAGCTCTGAATCACTCCTACCACTTTGTCTCCCAGACTGACGTGGCAGCCTTCCTGCTGCTCCACGTGGACGCCCTGGGTGACGTGGCACAGCGCACTGTGGAGCAGCTAGGCCTCGCGGACCCGCTCTTCCCGCCCCTCGCTATAGTGTCGGGCATTACAGTCACTGACGCGCTGCGCCTCATGCAGCGCGCGGGCGGCGTGAGAGCGGTGGCGGTGGTGGCGGGGACTGCGGAGGAGGAGGAGCGGATGGAAGAGGGCGAGGGGTCTGGTTCGGGAGCTGCTTCTGGTGATTCTGGTGCTTCTGGTGCTGCTGGTGCTGCTGAAATGGCAGGAGGAGGGAGGGGAGGAGGACGGGGTGGGTGAGGGGGGGCCGGCTGCTGGGGACTCTGTCAGTGTCGGATCTCAGAGGCATGGACGCGGACGCCCTACCACACCTCACCTCCATCAAGGTGAGCCTCGTGAATTTAAACACTCTAGCACAGCTGACATGCATTTGAAGTGAGAGGTGGTCCACGCACCTGCGCTGCTGACACATGTATGGTTGGGTGCGGTGCATGTAGGCATACCTCGTGCTGCCTTTTGAGAAACCTCATTCTTGTTGCTTGTCGCTTTCACAGGTGCGGGACTTCCTGGCTCACATGGCGTCGCTCACCCCTGAAGGTCGCTGCCCATCCATCACGTGCCGCATGGCGGCGCCTCTGGCGGAGGTGATGGCGCTGGCGTCGCTGGTCCTGCCCTGCCGCACCTGTTTTGCACATCTGCCTCTTTCTTCGTTCTTTGCTACTGCTGTCACCTGCGCTGTTGTACTCATCACTACTCCTTGCTGATTATCATGCACCTGCTTCCCTCTTCGCTCACTGGGATCCTCTTTCCGTTCGTCCGTGCATGCAGCCCGGTTTGACAGAGAGGGAAGCATTGCGGCTCTCAGAATGGGCACAGGTCAGTCCATCTACTTCCTATCTGCTTGATTTAAAAACATTCTGCACCTCAACCTCTTTCTGCACACGCCATGCCAACCCCCAAGACTTTCGCGTCCATTACTCAACCCGCTCATCACTCTTTCACCCCATTCCACCCCGCTGCACTCCCCCCTCAACCCCCACAGAGCATGCCATTCCGCGAGGCCTTTGCGTTTGCCACCATCCCGCTCTTCGACTCAGCCGGAGGCACCACCGGCTTCGGGAGCAGCAGCACAGGGGCCGGCACACCAGGGGTGCTGGGCGGGGCAGCAGCACAGGGGCCGGCACACCAGGGGTGCTGGGCGGGGCAGCAGGGGGAGGGGCAGGGGAGGGCACAGGGAGCCCTGGGACGCCGGGGTCTAGCAGCGGGGCGCTGGAGGAAGGGGGGGCTGCGCCCCGGTATGAGCCTGGGGGGGCCTCTGCTGGTGGACATCCCATGTCTGCAGCGCGTGAAGGAGTGCTACACTGAGGACCAGCTCTTTGTGCGTATTCACGTGGGGGCTTGGCTTAGTGACCAACCGCGTACACCGTGTGTGGGTTACTGGGGAGGAGGATGAGCTGCTGGGAGTTGTGTCCCTCGCCGATTGCATCGATGCTTGCAGACGGGCAGTGGCAGGGCAGCAGGGCAGCAGGGTGGCAGGAGAGGAGGGACACAGGGGGAGATGGAACCGGGCCTCAGGAAATCCCCCCCTGCTCTGGGCTGGACAGAGTGGACTGGCTGGTTGGGCGGTGGAAGGGTGGGGATACTGCTGGTTGGTGGGGAAAGCACGAGTGCTGCTGACCAACTGTGTATACATGGAAGCTCAGAGTGTTGTGCGAGATTGGAGTTGCGATGCTTGCTGACGCTCTTGTGGCATGCACAAGGGCGGTGGGTGGAGAGGAGAGGGTAGCAGCAGCAGCACAGCACATTGATGGGTAGGTAGGGCATGCTAGTCGTTTCACTTGGCCACATTAGGTGGGACTACGGTATGCTGTACATCTCCCTTGTCGTTAAAACTTTCCAGACAACCCTCCCACATGTTCCAAGTCGTTCATTCGCTGCTAGTACGGTATGGCGGCATTCCTGACAATGGTATTTCGGCGAGGAGTGTCTGGTACAGGCAGGAAGAGCCCTTTGGCAGCACTGGGCTGGAGATGGAGAAGCAGAGTGGAATGGCGTGGAATGTGACGGTAGGAGTGTGACTGAGGCAGGAAGTGGAAGCATGGAGTCATATAGAGATGTCTGCACAGCATGGGAAGAGCACATTTTCCCCCCAACTGCTAGGTTCTTCCCTTCTGTGTAGGTAGAGTGAAACATGCCTCAGCAAGGTGAGTGTGCTACAGCACAGCAGCACCACATTCAACTGAAGGACTTCAGCATTAACAGACACTGTTTGGGTGGAAACGATGACGATCAAAAGGCAGAAGGTGTGCAAGCAATGCAACATACGGTACAGTATTAGAGGCGTGATGTACAAGAGAACCACCAAGTGGAAGGCAATGTGAGATGCATAAGCAGCATCTGCACACACTTCCCCATTGAAATGCCAGTCTTAATCAAACAAAAAGCCCAATGTTCACATAAAGAAAGATGCCATTATGCACTCAATCCATCGCACGTCGTGTCTCAAAGTGCTCTTTGGCTGTTATCAATCTCAGCGCAGATACCAACAACAGCAACAGCAGAAGAAATGGTACGTTATTAAGACGCTGTGAGTGCTGTGATGTCAGTTAGTGCTGCAGAGCAGGTGATGCATGTTGCTAGGTGCTCAAAGCAGCAGCATGCTCATCCCTTGCTGGGAACAGGGAGCTTTAGTACGATTGCAGGAAGGGGAAGGGAGTCGGTTGCACCAGCGGCAGCAGCACCAGTTCCATCCGCAACAGTAGCGCGAGTTGCACGAGCAGCAGCAGCAGCCGCACGATTTGCACGGGCAGCAGTAGCACGAGCAACAGCAACCACTGTAGCACGAGATACATGTGCAGCAGCAGCAATAGTTCCAGCAGAAACAGCAGCACGAGTTGGAGGAGCAGCAGTAGCACGAGCTGCGCGGGAAGCAGGAGTGCGAGCAGAACTAGCAGCAGCAGCAGCAGCAGCACGATTTGCACGGGCAGCAGTAGCACGAGCAGCAGCAACAGAAGTACCACGGGTTGCAGCAGCAGCAAGGTTCAAAAATACGGCAATCGTAAATTACGGTCCGTAATTTACGGTTGTAAATTACGGTGGTTTTGGCAAAAATACAACCTTTTTTTTGTTGGACTTTTTTTTTCGTTTTTTTTTTTCAGAAAATTCTAGGCAGCTTACAACGATGGCAGAGAAGCCTACAAGAAACTACACTACACTAGTTAGGCAAATCTGCACCTATTCTATTCCCTCCTCTTCCTCCAATCCTACTCCAACTCCTTCTACTCCTCCGGCACTCCACCTCCTATCCTTCCTCCTCCTCCGCCTCCTCCTCCTCCTCCTCATCCTCCTCCTCCTCATCCTCCTCCTCCTCGTCGTCCTCCTCCTCCTCGTCGTCCTCCTCCTCCTCGTCGTCCTCCTCCTCGTCATCCTCCGCCTCCTCCTCCTCCACATGCTTCTTTCCTCTCCCCTTCCGCTTGCATGGCCCCTTTCCCTTCTGCTTCTTCTTCCTCTTGGAGCTCTCTCCCGCGCGCTTCTTCTTCTTCTTACCAATGCTCCCAAAGACGCTCCAGTCGATGGTGCACTCCTGCACCTCGGCTCCCTCCTCCTCCTCCTCAGCCCCATCATCAACCGCCTCCACTGGTGCGGGCGGGAGAACGGCAATGCCCTCTTTGAGGGTTCCGTCGGTGAGATCGGCGTACAACTTCGCACGCGCCTGCGTTTTGCGATCAAACGCATCGCGGGCCCTCCTCGTGAAGGCCACGAAGGTGACATCAGTCATCTTCTTGGCCGCGATGCGGTTCCGGTCGCGCCTCTGCACTCGTGCAAGGGCGGACCAGTACCGCTCCACCTCTGACGAGGTGACTGGCTGTGAAAGGGACGTCACAGCCAGCTCCTGGAGCGCTTGCACTTCCCCTCCAAAAATGCACCACCACTCCGCATCCGTCATGTGTCCCCCCGCCACCAAAATCCTGGCTGCCCATAGCGCGTCATCCGACCCGAGGCGGCCCTCCCCCTTGTGAAACTGCACCAGCTGTGTCTGCAGCTTGATGCGCTGGGCAACATCCCCCACCCGGGCATCAATCACCTCGTTGGCCCCCTTCCTCACCTCCGCATCCGTTCTCACCTCCCCCGCATATTGGTTGCGGGGATTAAGAAGCCATCCGAGGGCATGCAGGGAGTTGTGGAGTTGCCCGTCCCAACGCTTGGCAAGGATGCCCTTGATGGATGTGATGAAGGAGCTCTTGTCCTTGGCCAAGAGCAGACCCGTCTTCTTGACGAACACCGCCGCTGCTCACGGTGAGAATGGAGGTGGTTTTCGTTAATGTAGGGATTGGCATGCGCGGCATGATCTCGCATCACAGTTTTGGATCAAGGAGTAGGAAAACCAATAAATAGCCTTGCACTTACCGGCGGCCTCTGCAGCTACCCGAGTCTTGACCGTGATGTCAATCATAAGGCCATAGATTTGGCCCATGATTTGCGCCCGCGTGTCAACCACCCTTAGCACTTCATAAACTGGCGTGAGGAGGCCGAGCACCGCAGACACGCAGTCCCAAAATACGTCGTCGAGAAGAAGCGTCCGCACCTCCTGCCCTTCGGTCTTCTGCGCCACCGCCACCCCTTTCCATTCATCGCTGATGACCATCTCCTGGAGCGCCTTCTTCACCTCCAAGAATCGGCGTAGCATGATGACTTGCGTGCCGAAACGTGTCGCACCCGGCCGCACCAACGAAAGCTTGGTAAAAAGCTCGCGGAATAGAACGACGGCCGAGGCGCTGCCCTTGATCATCATGACGACCCGATGAACTTGCTCCAAGACGAGTTTGATGGGCTTGACTTTCCCAAAGTCGTGAAGCATAAGATCCAAGCAGTGGGCGGCGCAATTGGTGAAGAAAATCCCGGGAAACTCCACCTTAAGCTTCTCAGCCGCAGATCGGTTGTTAGAGGCGTTGTCCATAATGACCTGGACCACGAGATCTTTCCCCACTTCGGAGATGGATTTGCCGATGAGACCCGCGAGGTAATCCCCCGTTTTCTTCGCGGTTTTCGAGTCGACGATGTCCACAATGACGGGCGCGGTGTCGTTGAGGGCGATGACGCACACCATCGCGCGGGACTTCAAGCACGTCCACCCGTCCACCGAGAGACTGCACCCGGTCGTCTTCCAACTCTCCTTCAACGGCCTCACAAGCTCCTCGGCGTCCGCCCTTAGCTTGTCGAGGAGAGATCCGGACACCTTGTAAGGGGTTGGGAGTGTGTAGGGCTTCGCGTAGACGACAGCCGCGTCAACGAAGGCCTGTAGCGCACAAGACTTGGAGACGTTGAAGGCAAGATCATTTTCAGCCACAACTGCCGCCCACAGGTAGTCCAAACGCGCGCGGGCAACGGAATCCGCCATATCGCGGATGTCCCGCTGCCTAGAACGCCTTGCGGGCGGCATTTCGACCGTTGTGGAGGTGGAGGAGGCACGGTTGGAACTTGACGGTGTGGAAGACCGATCCCTTTCGGCGGCTTCTCGTAGCCGTTTGGCAAATTCGGACGGACGCGGCGTCACGTTCTTCTCCTTTGAGCGAGGGGTCCCGTAGATGTGCTCTCGAATACGAGTGGCATTTGGGGTCACGGTAGCAGGGCAATAGCTGCATGTCGCGGTAACTACGCCGTTAGGAGATGTGACCTTCGTCACGTGCTCCCACACCTCCGAGAACGGTCTAACCATGGTGGAATACTGCACTTGCTTGACTGCAGCAGTAAAATGCCTACTAAGCTAAGATGTACTTGTCGAGTAGGTTGTTTGCCCTGCTCTTTGTGCCTTGCTAGATTTGGTTGTGTTGCTTTGGCGAAAGGAAAAGGCAGAAGGGGTGGGATGGGATGGGATGGGGATTGGGCTAACGCTATTGGTTAAAATGGTTTCGCAGCGCAAAGTTCGGTTGTGTCGCGCACGCGGGCGAAAAAAAACGAAAAGCTCGCGAATCGTCCCACCGACCTGACGAAACGGGTTGACGGGTGACAACGGTTCGCCAAATGTACAGTTTACCGCATCGCGCAAATTTGTATATTTGCGCTTCGGCGAAATGCGCAAACTGACATTTCGTCAAGGCAACAGAGCAGGAATCCGTTCGCCAAAAAACCAAATGTCGCGCCTCGAGAAATACCTGACATGCGCGACTCGGGAAAAAAAACCAACACGTGTGCATTTGGCCGCACAAATGTTTCTGACCCAGGGTGACGGTTGTGAAACGCCGAAATTCGCTATTGCAAACTCGGTATCAAAATTTCGGTCGTAATTTACGACCGTATTTTTGCACCAACATTAAAATACAATGATTTACCGTTTTTTACCGTAATTTACGACCGTAATTTACGATTCCGTAATTTACGGCAAAAAATCAAAAATACGGTCGTATTTTTGAACCTTGAGCAGCAGCAGCAGCAGCAGCAGCAGCAGCAGAAGTA